AGGCTATACATAGTAGAATCCCTTATATTAACACTTATGAAATAAAATTCAAGGTTTACTTTAGGCATGGAGTGCACCGATTTCTTCATCCTTATTTAAAATATACATGGATGAATTTCTAAAGAGGCTATGTCGAAAGATTGATTTTAAAATCAACTTTTTAGGATATGCAAATCACATTATTTTTTATCTAGATAAAGCACTCAGTTAAATGGAACTTGAAAGTAAATAAAAGGAAATGCGGCATCTTACCAATAAATCATAATATCTAAAAGGATAACATCATAAACTACCCTGTTATAAATAATTATAGAAACCTTTGAATAAAAGTTGATCTAAAAGGGACTTCTAAACTCACTTTAAACAACCTAAAAAAATGATTAATTTTATTAGGTAAAAACTAATTCATGTAATGTTTAGAATTAATTTTAAATAAAGAATGTCAATTTATTACATCTAAATTGACCACATTTTCTTTACTTTTCTGTGAGTTAATCCTTTGCGAACAAACAAATGAGCAAAACAATTATTCTATTAAGAAAAATAGATTTTCAAACAACTTAAAAGATTATCTAAAAATACTCCTGAAAAATTATTAATTTAATTCTAATAAATAACACTGAAATATTAAAGAAAAACATAGCTGATACCATTTTTATAAAGCTTAATTAATTTTAATAAGTGTTGTGATCTTCTATAAATTATAATCACATTGTAATAAAATAATAAATAATAAACAACTGATAATAATGTTTTATCAATTAGCTTCATTATAATTACAATATCATTCAAATATTTTAAAAATCAATAAATGAATTATAAAATTTTTATATCAATAAACTTTAATATTTTAAAAATATAATTCAAGATGAAAAAGATATTGATTGATTCACAATAATTATCATTTAATATAAAGATATTAATCAAATCAAAATCATATTGTATTTACTTAATTATATTAACATAATATATAACACTGATTATATAAATAGAATATAGAAATCTATTCATCAATTTTATAGTTATAAAATTAGGTTTTAAATCTAATATATTTCCTTACCGAGAATGGTCAATCAATGTTTTGAATTTTATTATCATCACTATCTTAGAGAATCATCTGCCTTTAGATTTTCTAATTTTCATTGCAAGATATAAAGGATTTATTTTTTTTCAATTATTTTTTTAATAATGTAAAAATTGATAAACTCACTTCTTAGGACAAATAAATTGGGTTTTTCAAACAAACTATTAAAAAAGATTCATAGTAGGTCTTTGAAAATAAAGATTAACTAAACACTGAATTATTGGACGATATGAAGAGATAAACTAATAAATTTTATAAAATTTGTAAGCTTAAACAATAAATTAAAAAGGATAGTAGATTGATTTTTATTGTTGAATATTTTAACTAAGTTCATAATATGACTTTTAATCAATATAATTTATAAAATAAATATTGTTTTAAATTTAATTATATTATGGTTTTCCAATAGGAATTGAGAAGAGAAAAAATTATATGAAAGTTTAATTATGAAAATGGTATAAAATTATATAATATTACTAAATTAGATTGATTAATACTATTTAATTATTTTATTATTTTTACATAAATTTATTTTTGTAAAATAAAATATAGAGAAATTTATGTACATATATTTACACCATTAGTTACGATTAAAACAACATAATTTTTTTAATTTAATTATCTTCATAACATCAAATCAATAAATGAAAAATCATATCTTAAAATTTTAAATACTTTTAGAAATCAATCTTAAATAAATCCTCAAAGCTATAATTAATAAAAAATGCTAATTTCTATTAAAATAATATCAATATTTTGCAAAATCAAAATTATAAATTTCAAATTCCCAATATTATTCTCTTTCTTTAATTATTATTAATCTTATAATTGATCTTGCCTCTTTTTGGATTAATGATGATCAACTCAATTGATATTTTTTGGTTTTTTAACTAATTAATTTTTTTTGTATAGTTGATTAAATAAAATAATTATCCAGAAAAGATTTTGGGTTCATTTTGTTAAATTCAGCGATTTTTTATAAGTTTAATTAAATGAATAACTTCAGGTTAGAATAAATTCTAGTTTATAAGAATGAGGAAATAAACAAAACTGAATAATCTTATTCTTAAAATATATAATAATCCTTTTTTCAATCAATCTTCTTGGTTATCTTTAATATACTTTTCACTTTGAGCAATAGGAGTAACTCTTGAGGATTTTTATTTCTTAATTTCAAAAATTTCTGCCATCTAATCAACTTTTTTCTATTTCCTAATTTTTTATTATTATTATAAATACATTTTGTCCAATACAAAAGCTGTTATAGTGTTTTTAGAATATTATAATGAACTTTCTCGAACTGTTTTTCTAATAAATTGTTATCTTTCTTTAGCTTGAGCTGGGCTTCTTAGACTTAAAGGAATAGTATCTATATTTTGTTCCATGTTTCTTTCCATAGCAATTTGCCATTAATAATTTTTAAAGGCTATAATTTCCTTTGCTTGGGGAATTAAAAATTGTTTAAGTTTTTTATAAGATTTTGCTACTCGATGAATTTATTCACTACGATCTGCTAATACTCTTTTCATAAATGGAATTTAATTTAGAAATGGAAAAGTATTTCTGACAATATTCCGAATTTTATCCATCTTCTCGTCAAATTTGCTAGACTTCTCCTTCAAATATTCAGCTAAAATCTTGGATATTAATGTATATGTTAAATGCAGATTCAAGATAGAAATCACTATAGCGTAAGGAATTTGTATTTCTAATGAATTTGATTATTCTGAAACATATATACCAATAGCTAGTGTAATTGAAGCTAAACAGACATTTGTTGAGTAATAGTCTAATTTATTGAGATTATTTAGATTATATGGTTTATACTTCAAACTTAATTCCAAGTATAATCCAATAATTAGAGATATTATCGTTGCTTTAATAATTACACTATCATCGTAATATGTCAAAAAAATGATCATTAATTCTTTCTGTAAAATTTTGATAACTTCCCAAAAGTAGGCTGTTTTTGTGTATTCATTATAAAGGTAACCCCATTACAACCTTATTTTCTTATCATCCAATTAGTTAGAATTACTGTAAAGACCATAAAAGAAAAAGATTGGGATAAGAATTGCTAGAATAAAAAGCATAGGTAAACAAAGCTCAAGCATCCATTTTAAATGATAAGGAGTATCAAATCTTTAAGAAACATTTGATTGTATCCATTTATAACCTGAGATTTCTCGATATGATATAAGTTAAACAAATCCTCCAATTAAACTTGGTTATAAATAGATGTACATATAGATGAGTGTAGTTGTAATGACACTTCTATTAAAAGTTATATGCTTAAATTTGACAGCAAGTAAATAACAAAATAAAAAGAAGGTTATATAAAGAAATGGCATAATTATTTACCAAATCATTCTAGCATATTAAATTTCATATGTAAAAACATTTGATAAGAAACAATCCAATGAATAAGTCATAGTCTGAATAGGAGATCCAACTACATTAATGGTACTTTATAGTCCGCTAGGAAGTTTTAGTTGAAAAGTAGATATAGAAGAAATGATCTACAAGTAGTTAGTCAGCATTTTTATTAATATTGCAGATTGATTTGTATTTTATGTAACTGCTAATCCTAACATCATAATACTAATAATTCTAACAACTTCTTCGATAGCTTTTAAAGTGCTTTGCACTGACACTAATATTGAAATTAAAGTCCTAACATAATATTTAATATATGTACCATATGCTGACAAAAGTTATAATTATTGCATTTTTCTCCTCTTCTAAGCATGATCCACAAGAATATTTCTAACTAACTGAATATTTTCCATCTCCTCTTGTATCATATAAATCACATTATTCGCATAGTGCACCAATATGCCCTAAAAAACAAGAATTGTCACCTTCTTCCCAACCACCTAAGCAATTTTCTTGTAAATTCAAGCAATAACTCACAATATTGCTTTAAAAATAGGGTCTCCAAAATCCAAATTTTAATTTTAATAAAGCTGATTAGACACTTATTGTCGATACATCATCTTTTAAATCACATTTTTCAGAATTTATATTTAAAGAAAAAAGGCCTTAATCACTATTACATGGAATACACGAAAAATCAGTATTATTTTTTATTTCACCATATTAACAACTCAAAGCCTTTATGTTCACCCTTAACTTGTAATTAGAATGAGAATTCATCAAATTATATGGATATGATTTGTTGTAAATAGGAATTGAAATTGAATTACATCTAAATTATAATTATAAAACAATTTCTAAAGGAGATGCATTATCAAAATAGATTATCAAATCATCTAAATTATAATCCTAAGTTAAATCATTAAAGATTATCTTATTTATATTAGTAAGATTATTACTAAATTTATCCTCTTAAAATAAATCTGAAGTATTTAAAATTCTACTATCAATTTCACAAAATGAATTCTTCATGTTTTTCATTACGCTGTTGTCTTTGCTCAAAGCAATCACCCTAAATTTGTACTTGAAAGGAGAATAAGATTTATTTTCTTTTGAAAATTCTTAATAAGATGAAATCTTTTGACCACTTGGCAAAAAAAAATATTAAGTTGAAAGTGGTTAACTAGGTTATAATATTACTTGTTAAATTAATTAATCTTATGTTTCTGTGATTGTAAGTGTTGATAATAAAGAATTTTCATCAGTTAAAGTAACCGTTAGTTTTTAAGGGATAGATACCCTATCATTTCCAAAATATTCAGCTTTATTTTTATCAAAGATAGTTTCCAGCTTAAAATAATCCATATCTTATTAATTAACCAAATATATTCCCCCTCCTATTTATGCTGAATTATGTTAGATTAAACTACTTTTTATTAAGAATTCCTAGTTCATTTTAATTATAATAGCGCCTCCTGTTCCAGATGCATTATTATATTGAAAAACTGAATTTTCAATTAAGACTTTAACATTTTTAGCGAATAAACAAGTTCCATTTTTAGCTCTATTAAACTGGCATATATAATTATCAATATAAATTTCAAACTTCATGGATTACAATTACATCTCTGAATTTACAAGGAATCGTCGTGCATTTAAATTCTCTTTTGTAATATAATAGCAACCATTAAACCCACAAGAAGAATTTGTTATTTTAAGATTAGAAATGTATTATTTCATTAGGATGTCTTCAACTTTCAAAAAGGATTAATAGATCAATCCATTCTTACATAAATTACAGTTTATTTATGTAAATAACATGTTATCCAACTTAATTTATGATAAGTCTGTGAGTTCTTGGAATGACAACAATCCAGACAATGTATTTTCAATTATCAAATTATTTTCTTGTTCATTCTATTTGAGTATTTAAGATTAAATACAATCTCCATAGTTAAAATCTTATTAGATATAATGTGAAAACAAGTTGAGTGGGGCTTAAGTAGTTTAAGCTTGTGAAAAGCATTTAAAAAATAAAGTATAGTCATTATTAGTTTATTACTGACAACTATAGCTCTTTAATTGTAATGCTACAGTTATGTTTGAAATTATCAATCCATTTATCTAAATGCTGTTTAAGAGATCTAATTAATAATATTATATTTACATTGGTTGAGGTGAAATTTGAAGAGTATATTACTTATGATACTATTTGATATTTTTAAATTCTGAATCGATACTATTAAAGCATTATTAATTTGAAATGCAGACTCTAAGATGATATTATCAATTTCAATATTTTATAAAATAACATTGCTTGCTTAATTGATATAAAATAAGGCTCTATTATTTAATATAGCTATTTCTTCTGTTTTTGAAAGTTGGGTATATTTATTTAAATATCTTGTAAGACCTTCCTTATTATTTTAGACAATAGCTGAATTAATTTTAACAATTTGTTAAATTTAAGAAGTAGAGGAGAATATTGCATATAAAATGGATCCAAGCTTAGAGAAAACATTTTGAATATTTAAATGCTAAAATGTAATAGTTACTTGAGGAGAATCTGATAGTATATAAATGAATCCTCCTTATTCCTTAGCTGTGATATTCTCGATAGATATATAATTTAAAAAAACTTCAAGGGATTAAGCTGAAGTACTGTCTAAATATATGACTCCTCCAAATCCTAAATCTTAGGAGAAAGTAGTAGAGATATTCTTAAATTATGTTTGTGATATAGAAATAATACTATTTTTTTAAGCTTCAATTTGCATAGCTCCTCCAGTATATCCTACAGATTACTCGAAATTACAAAATGAAATTTACAAATTTTCTACTAATAATTATGCTACTCCCGATGTAGATTTAACCTGAAATATTTAGTTTATTTGTTCATAATATACTTTCTCAGATTATAAAAATCCCCATAATAAATAAGGCTAGATTAATTAATAATTAAAATAACTATTCTAATAAAATGTACAATTTTCAACAATTATTTTCTGACTTTTAATGTAAATAATAGTATCAGTGCCATTATAAACAGTATTCTTTAAGAAATTTGAATTTTTGATTGTGATAGCTCCCAAAATACAGTTTAAATTTAAAAGTAAAGAAGAAATTTAAAGGTTATTCTAAACATATTCATGCAAAATGTTGCCAACAAAACTTATATTTAAAAGCTCTAATGATGTTTATTGAACTGAATCTACAAAGATTATAGCAGTTTAAGATTTTGAGTTTGATAATAATAATAAATTTGATTCTATTACTAAATTAGAAAAATGAACCCTTTCAAATTTTTATTATTTCACTTTGTCAAACGATTTATAATAGATAATCGGAGAATTATATGATTAAGCAAATTTAATTTACATATCAATTATTTCAAAATTAAGCACTGAAGTAACAAAGAGTGATTGTAAGTAATATTCACCCAAAACTTATTATAATTAACAATCAATATATTGATGAAGTCCAAGAAATTTATAATTATCACTTTAAGTTATTCTGCTAGAGATTATTCTTAATGAATTAGCCTCAAAAATACTGATATCTATTAATCCAATTCCTCGAATTAAATCCAACTCTGTAATCTCTATATCATCAAGAGAAATATAGATAAAACAGGAGTTATAAGTGTCTAATTTAAAATCTTCGGTAATGAATGATACATAATTCTATGAAATGGTAATTGTTTTAATTTAGATTTTTGAATACTCATTGTTATATTTATTAAAAGAAAATAATTTAGTAGTTTGATGATATTCATTCTGTTCTACGATTACATTTGATAATTCAATTTGTAAATTATTCAATTGAAGTTAATCAGAATTTATAATTCCATAACTAAATTCTTTAAATTTGCAATCTTTAATCATAAGATCTTGAATTATATTATTATTATTAAGAATTATAAGTGTAGAATTTTAAATCAATGCATTTGTAAATTAGATTCCTGAAAGTGTGACTTTATCAAAAAGATACAAATTTAAAAAAGCCGGGCAATTAAGTAAATTAACTTCTAGTTTTACTTTTTGAGCATCTAATGTTCCATATTATTTTAATAATTTTGTATCTATTAATGTTGAATTTTTTAATTTTGCATTTACTTACAAATCTATAATTTTAATGATATCATATTTGTTTAGATTAAAAAAGAAAGTGATTTAATTTAGAAGGATGGAATTTAGAATTTCAAAAGATTAAAATGTTATTGATTTGACATAAGGAGTATCAGCAATGTAGATAAATTAATTAACAGTATTTTGCATAAGATCCAACATTTTGAAATTGATTAGATTTAACTTTTTAACATCATAAAAAAGGAATTTAGATTCATCATTTTATTAAGTTAATTGTTGATATAAAATAGTATCCAATATTATTATTTAGGGCATTTAGCTTTAAAATATTATTGATTTTAATTTGTTATTAAATAATGGTTAAAAGTGACCACCTTTGATTGTTATTTAATTAAAATTTTAGAATGTGATTTATCTTTCAAACTCAATGATTGTATTTTAATTTAATTATATATTTAATTCGACATTACTAAATAAGTTTATATATTTACATCGTTGAAAATATATTAGCACTAAAATCTTGTTTAATTGTAGCATTTCCTTAAATTCTGCATATTTGTGGTTTAACGCTAATAATGTTTATAATAATTGTTTTAATTAACATAGAATTGGCTTATATATAGAAATCATGAGTTTCAAACTAAAATAAATTATTTATAATAATTACTTGTTGAAAACTATTTCCAGATATAAATTCTTCTAAAAGTATATTTTCTTATTTGAATTTAGTTTTTTGATAAGATGACTACATAGAATCCAATGCAGTTGTATAATCCTACTAAGAACAATATAAATTAATAGGTATTATGATTTGTTATTCACATTTATTACCATTTGAGCAAGATATAAAGCTTCCTAACTCTTAATCAAAATAATATTCTTAATCTTCAAAGCTCTTTAAACATTGATAAGTATTTGTATAGTATTTATCATTGTTAAAATAAGGATTTATTGATTAGATTTCATCTTATGATCTAACTCTACATAATGCACAATTTTATGGACAAGCAATACATTAATTATTAAATAAACTTAATTTTCTACCTTATTATTCAAGCTCACATTTAATACATTTATTTTAACCATCAATTTATTAACATTCCAAACATGAGTCAGGACAGGCTTTTATGCACTTTTAATTTACCAATTCATAACCTTTTATACACATAGTACATATAATCTCATAATCATCCTTGTTTTCACTTTAAGAATAGAGATTAAAGGGATGATTATTATCAAAATTAATAAACATTTAAAAGAAGGCTCTGATATTGATTTTCCAATAATCTTTTGATAATTTTTATTATTAAGCACAATTATAACAATTTAATTCAAGTGGACATGAATAACATTTACCTGATAATCTTTCTGCATAGTATCCACTTTTACATTCTAGACAAATAGTAACAATACCAGTAGATTGCATCTTATAAAATAAACAAGTTTCACAATTTTCAACAAATGCAGGACATTGTGTATTAAATTAAAGGATTCTGGCTGTATCATGTTGATATTATTCTTGATTAATCAAACAATATTATAATGATGTACAGATAATATTTTCCTAATCATCAAATGCCATTGTTATATTTTCATTGTTTGAAGTCAAGTAATAAAAGGATCCTATTAATTGTTAGTAAATTAAATCATCTTTGACAATGATAGTGTCACAAATATATTAAACAAAAGAAAAAATACAAGATATATCTCTCATTCTAAGGCATTGATAAGAATCCATTATAATTCCATAACCGTAATTACATCTTCCACAAGTTGTAATAATAAAATCCCAATCATCCCTAGGTGTGAAATAGAGATCTAGTGTATTAATTTAATAATTGTAGAATAAGGCCTAAAACGCATAAGCACAGTGTTTTATAGTATTTTCTAAACAACTAATGCCATCAAATGATAGAAAATATTTTGAATCATCTATGCACTTGTAACATTTTAAATAGTAGTTATTAATATTAATATCATAGTATTTTTAACAAATACTACAGAAATTTCCACAAGGAAAACAACTTCCATTATCTAATGCATAATGATCAATACAGGACTGACATTATAAAGAATTCGTTTCATAATTATAACTACAAGTCAAGCAATTTAAAGGGCATTAATAATAATGACCATCATGTAGATACAGACCATCTTTGACCTGTAAGCAACTTCCATCTAAAGAAGCAAGTAAACAACTAATATTAATTAATATACAATCTCCATTTGATTAATAGTAATTAGGCTTACATTTGACATTAATAGTTTATCCTAGATGCTAATACTTTGCTTGAAAACAGTTGATAGTGTCTAATTCCAATTCACAAAAGTCCAAGCAACCTGGAAAAAGGTATAGCTCACTATTTTGATCAATCAAATAAAAATCATAATCTTATAGATCTCTTTCTTTATATTTAAAAGCATTATTATCTCCTGCTATTTCAAGTATTAAGTCAAATTTGCAAATTGGTTTTAAATACCAGGTTAATGGATAATATATACAATCTACACATAGTATGTCTTAAAAATTAGATTATGGACTGAATACAATAAATAAATATACCATTTTATGCACTCATTATTACCAATTTCATTTGGATATAAGAAATATCCAAATTAACATGATGAAATTACATTATGTAATCCTTCTTGTTTTTCCACTGATGAAAAATGATATTCAAATGATTAACACACTTTCTCATCTAGAATGTCAATATATCCATATAGACATTAACACCTCTTTTATTCATTCAAATAATATCTCTTAGAATCTTCTTCACAACTTATACAATTATTATCAAATGGTCCATCACATGTTAAGCAAGAGTAATGACAGGCTATAAAAAATATAATATTCAAATTACCATTAAAAAGGAACTGTTTTTCATCAATATAATTGTATTCAAATTTAAAATTGAAAAGTGATGCTTATAATAATTCCTTTACAAATTCATCTGCTCCAAAATAAACATAAAATGGAGAATTGGTTGGCACAGAAATGTCATTAGAAAATATTTTTAAATTTAAATCATTGAAGAATTGAATTTAGAGCAAACTCTTTCTTCCTGGTATTGTAGAACCATATTCATATTTTACAAAATGCCATTACTGTAATCCTTAAAAATAAAGTTGCGAATTAATATCAGAAAAAATTTTCTAAGCAAAGTTTAAAAGATTATAATCCATCTAACCCATAATCGGTATTTAATGATAATCTATTATAACAGAAATTTATGTTTATTCAGGATAAACCTTATTAAACCAGACTTACAATAAGAATATTTCATCTCCAATGCTTTACCTGTCAAAATAATTTTTAAAAAGACTTATTCTAATCAATTGATATATAGAAAGCTGAATAACTTTCGATGTATCGTATTTAACCCATCCTGATAAGCAATACTTACTTCCAAATTAATTTATAGTATATTAGAGAGAAGTATCACCATTAAAGATTTGCAATCCTTTGACAAAGTAAATTATTTATTCCTCTTGCATCTTAGGAGGTACTTAACAATTATCATTCATATACGAAAATAGGTCCTAACCTACATATTCAATCTTGCTAACAAAAATTTTTGATAATCTTCCTTTGAAAATATTTAGATTAAGACTCTCAATCTAATTGGATATAAATAAATATATATTACATTTCCACTCCCTCCTTGAAATATTTAAATATATTCTTAATCTAAATCCATTGTCCCAATCTAACTAATGTGATCACTCATTTCAACAATGATTTTTTTTTATGAAAAATGAAATGTTATGAAGTTCAGAATCCATCTGCCTTCGTAATTTAATATTTAATACTCAAATTGTAGAACCTAATCATTACTTCCTAAAATCATTATTGTATGATAAACTAGCAAAGTTATGTAATCTATTCTCATGAATCCTATCACTGAATTGCTTGAACTTCCCTTAACTAAAAATAATAATTGTCCAAATTCAGGATCTGTTGCAATGTATTCTTATTCTACTGTAGGAATATTCTTAAAAGTTTATTATGGAATGCATAGACTCCAAAAACCAAAACCAAATGAATCCCCCACATCCAAAGTAACTAAAGAATCGAAATATTTAAAATCAATAGGTGATTCAACAGGAATTAAGGCTGATTCATATCCACTATAAGGGCAACATTAAAATTTTGGTAGGCTATCAAGAATGACAATATAAGATATCAAAACAAGAATTTTATCAGAGGCTTTCATTGTTAATATGAAATATCGATTTTTAAATAAAATATCAAGATATGCTAATACCAAATGTATAAATTTTATTATAGTATATCAAATAAGAACAAGAAATAAGAAAAATTGATACACCAAAAGTTATTTCAAAATGTATTAGAAATAAGTCCATTTCCAAAATTAAAAATGAAGATTAATATTTTCTCACTGAAATAATAAGAACTTGTATGAATTTAATTTGTCTTAAGAATAATCAAATATATAAATGGATTATTTTCATCTCTTATTCATCATTTGAGATTTGTCAACTAAATAATCAGAGTTTATTAATAATTCTTACTTCATTATATTTTTTCTATATATTTTAATTTACTTATTAATTTTTTTATTTGTATAAGTTAATATTTCTTTTCATTTATCCTAACTATTTTAACAATAATTGTCCCATAATTTATATTCTTTTCTTTATTAGGTTGAATGCTTACTAATTAATATGCAATAATTTATAATTCAATTGATTATTAGATAAACAAAATATATCTCTCTTCAGGATTGATTATTAAAATTAGTTACTTTTAAATAGTTATCTAATAATATTTTGCTTTCATATAATTCATTGTTTTGATTAATTATTTGCTTTAAAAATAATTTTTATGGTTTGTTTATCTTTATACTCATAAAATTTTAATAATATTTTTAAGCTAAAAGAGAAAATTTCAAAATTGATACCATTCTTTGAACTCTAGGGATTACTTTATTTTTTTTTTAAATGAATATAGATCTTTATGCATTTAGTTTTCCATTCTTTGATTTGGAGTATTACAGGATTAATTTCCAATATAAAAAATTGATTTATACAATTCTCAATTTTTAATAATAACTTTATTTGATTCTGCATGATATCTCAAACTTTATAAATATTTTTATTAAACAATATATTTAATTTTCAATTTGAATTTGAATTTACATAATGACAATGCTTAATAATTATTTTATTGTAATGATATCGATTGAAAAGGTTTTATAAATAATCAATAATAACTATAACAATCATTATTTAAATTTTATTTAAGGTTGCAAATTACTTAGAGTAAACCACTAACTCATCATAATATTTTTAATTAGAGTTCTAATTTACTTTATGGTTTTTCTCTTAGCAAATTCTAAAATTTTTTGCTTTATTGATCCTAAAAAAAATAAAAATAAAATTTAATCAAAATTATGTTGAATAATCTATTTTGAAAGAATTCAAAATTAATATTTAATTCATATACCTAATTTGTTTTCGTTTAGGGCTTGTATTATTNATTAAAAATGAAGATTAATATTTTCTCACTGAAATAATAAGAACTTGTATGAATTTAATTTGTCTTAAGAATAATCAAATATATAAATGGATTATTTTCATCTCTTATTCATCATTTGAGATTTGTCAACTAAATAATCAGAGTTTATTAATAATTCTTACTTCATTATATTTTTTCTATATATTTTAATTTACTTATTAATTTTTTTATTTGTATAAGTTAATATTTCTTTTCATTTATCCTAACTATTTTAACAATAATTGTCCCATAATTTATATTCTTTTCTTTATTAGGTTGAATGCTTACTAATTAATATGCAATAATTTATAATTCAATTGATTATTAGATAAACAAAATATATCTCTCTTCAGGATTGATTATTAAAATTAGTTACTTTTAAATAGTTATCTAATAATATTTTGCTTTCATATAATTCATTGTTTTGATTAATTATTTGCTTTAAAAATAATTTTTATGGTTTGTTTATCTTTATACTCATAAAATTTTAATAATATTTTTAAGCTAAAAGAGAAAATTTCAAAATTGATACCATTCTTTGAACTCTAGGGATTACTTTATTTTTTTTTTAAATGAATATAGATCTTTATGCATTTAGTTTTCCATTCTTTGATTTGGAGTATTACAGGATTAATTTCCAATATAAAAAATTGATTTATACAATTCTCAATTTTTAATAATAACTTTATTTGATTCTGCATGATATCTCAAACTTTATAAATATTTTTATTAAACAATATATTTAATTTTCAATTTGAATTTGAATTTACATAATGACAATGCTTAATAATTATTTTATTGTAATGATATCGATTGAAAAGGTTTTATAAATAATCAATAATAACTATAACAATCATTATTTAAATTTTATTTAAGGTTGCAAATTACTTAGAGTAAACCACTAACTCATCATAATATTTTTAATTAGAGTTCTAATTTACTTTATGGTTTTTCTCTTAGCAAATTCTAAAATTTTTTGCTTTATTGATCCTAAAAAAAATAAAAATAAAATTTAATCAAAATTATGTTGAATAATCTATTTTGAAAGAATTCAAAATTAATATTTAATTCATATACCTAATTTGTTTTCGTTTAGGGCTTGTATTATTATAAGATGATGAAAAATATAGTAATAATTTTTTTTAAATGAAAACAAAAAATATTTAATGTAATGTGATAATTGATTTGATTAAATGCAAAGTCTTAACAATGAATACATGTTTATTAATTAGAATTATTAAATTTTCCCTTTCTTGATTATTAATATATATATAAAAAGCTCATAAATGATGTTGTCTTAAGTATTAAATTCAAAAAGTTGAATATAGGAAATAATACATCAATAAATTATATTTAAAATATACCGATATTTTTGCCTTAATCACATTGTTATATATTATTTTCAAACAAAATTAATAACTCCTTTTTTAATTTAAAGTAAATTTAAAGAGATAATTATGCCTTTAAAATAAACAAATAATATCAACTTATTTGTCACATAATTTTTAATTATCTGATTTAATTGTAAATATATTAGTTGTTTATCATTTTATATTTATTTATTATGGCATAGATTTCATTTATAAAAGTTCTCTTTACATTTCCAATCATATTTTACTAAAATTGTATTGAGCCTTAAGGAGCAGATTGTTACACTCATCTTTGGAATTATAATAACAAGGTAGTTAATTGTCAAGGAAAATGGTTCATGGGGCAATTCGGAGGTAGCTATGAAAAAGTTACGTTATAATTAAATTATCCCTAAGGGAGAACAATGAGATTTAATTTTACTATGGGAAAATTTAATTCTTGGGACTATGAGCCATTTTACGTTATTATAGACGATGTATAAGTTGATTCATTCACATATGGCCCCTTTGAAGGGACACCAACAAGCAACTTGGGTTTTATTATTTTGGAGTCTAAATCATATAAATTTATCTAGCCAAATGGTAAGACCAGCACTAAGATTACTTTATAAAGTAATTTAGATTAAAGTCTTAATGATGGTAATACTTTATTATAAAATAGAATCATGGGGATTTAGGGATGTTTGCATTGAAATTTTAGATCCTTGTGTGGATTTCTTTAGCGAATGTGATTATTAAGGTTCAAAATTTAGTATTTGTTCTAGTAATTAAACTCTTTTATCGAAAAATGTTCCTTTTTTTATAAAATCCATTAGTTTATATGATGGAATTATAGTAAAATTTAAAGATTGGGGAGAACTAAAAATATATACTGAAAGTTAGAATTGTTTGCCTAATTATAATGTATTTATAAAATTTACCTTAGTTTCCAAAATACAAAAAACCTGAATGAACTAACATTTAATAAGTTATACAAATAATTAAATATTATGAAAGAATCTTTTCTTAATAATTGATAGAGTCAAATGATAATAACAAAATTATTATTCTTATTTTCTTAAAAATTTCATTATTAAATGTTTTATTTTTAAAAGTGTTTCAAATTTTTTCTGATTTAGCTGGATTGTGATTACTGTTTATTTAAATTTGATTTTTCTTATGAAATTTTAGCATTCAAAAAATTCTATAAATGTTAGTTTTTTATATCAATTATTTTCAATTTGATATTATATCATTTTTAGTTTTTATAATTTATAAGAATAAGAATGTGATAATTTTAATTAACAGATTTATTCAAATGAATGAAGTATTTACTTTATATTACTTTAAAACAACATTACTAAATAAAAATAAATTTAAGAAAATAATTCAAACATAGATTATCTTGAAGAAAAGTTATTCCAATAAAAACACATTTTAATTTTTCATTTAATTATTAGTCAAAAATGATATAATAAAATTAAATGTCATAATAAAGTTCAATCGAAATACCACCCTAATATTTTAACTTAATTGGAAAAAATATTGTGAGATTTCCTAAATAATTCAGATTAAATACTATTAAAATAATTATTTAATTTAAAATTATTGAAGATTCTGATTACTAATATATCATCTATTATGATAGAAATATAATCTATATTTAATAGCTTAAAATGAAAAAAATATAAGAGTTGAATTAAACACATATACTTTAATTATTTTAAGATTTTTAGGAATGAATATACATAGAATAACTAATCATATTTTATAATTATAAATACCTGAAAATCAAAGATATTTTAATTATATAAGAAAAAGATAAATGCAACTATTTATTATCTAACTTTTTCATTCCTTTTCATATATTCTGTTTTAATAGTTTTTTCAATATTTGTTATGAATTTATAATATATTATCATTAAGTTATTAAATCATAACAGGAAATTTTTTTGCTTATCATCATTCAAGTAAGTTAAGAATCAATAACAAATTCTTTTTATTTTGATTAGTTATTTCTCTTATTCTTTTTCTTTTTAAGTTTATTATCTTTATTTTTGTTTAGAAAGTTATCAATTATTTTAATAACCTAAAATAATACCTTTTAGGATTTGGAGAATTTTATTTTTTTTTTACCCAAGTTTCAAAAGTCAAGATAAAATCTAGTGATTTCATAATTTCAGAAAAATCTTCAAGTTCTTCTTTTTGTCCATGTAGAATCATGCCTTACACTTATGTTCTAAAATTAAAAAATTATAATTGATACAGAACAATAGTTTATTCCAAAATTTAGATTCTAATTTATTTTCTTAAGCAATCAAACTTATAAAAATGTTTTAGTAATGTTAAATTACTATTGAAATTTGAATAACATTAAAATTGAATAAAAATGTTATTCAATTTCTTATCAGTCTTGGAGATTTTAATTTTTTTCACTTTTTATATATGTAATTTAATTTTTGATAATTTGTTATATTGTATCCAAGACTTCCAAAACTTATTTGCAATAATTCTTTGCTAGTCTTGAATTTATAAAAGTAGACAAATATATTATTTAATTTATCCTATTGATTATTGTTTTGATTAATCAGATATATTTGAATTACCATAATGAACCTGAAATGAAAGCAAATTATGAATTGTTAAACAATAATTTCAATTAAATTGTTTTTCCTAGATATTAGATTATACAATTCCCACAATAAGTAATTTTTATATTCCAAGCACATTTACTTAATAAAAAAAATCTTTTTCCAAATTATTTTTACAAAATTCTAAGTGTTTTTGATTTTATATCATTTCAAAATTGAGTTAAACATTTTATATAAAAATTTAATCAATTTATCTCCCATTCCTATTAATTTATGGCCATTTCTTGGAAATTATTTGCTCGATTCACTTGATAGATCTATAATTTAGCTTGAGAATTAAAATTTTGTCCATATAGAATTGAATTATATTTTTTTGGGTAATTTAAATTATGCTTTTTTGTTTTACATTTTTTTAACTTAAAATGATAATTCTATAATTATTAATTTCTTATTTATCAAATAAAAAATGCTTTTAATATTAAATCATATTATTTTAGATAAAATATCAAGATACAACATTATAAGAAAGCATTAAGAGTTATTAACAAAGACTTTTGTAGATGTAAAATTTACCTTTATGTTAACTAAAGAATTTTACTGAACTATTCAGAAATTTTTGGGTTCCTATTTCTAGAAATGTTCTTTCATATATACAAATTAGATTTATAATAAAAGCGTTTTCTATAATTTATAATTATTTAATGTATATTAAATTCATTAACATTTAATTGTAATAAGAGTGTTACAAGATAAATTTTAAGAGGTCATTAAATTGATGTAGTATTAGAAATCAAACAAAGCCCTTTGATATTTATCCGCATAATTTCTAAGATCTTGGCAATGCTAGGTGCGATCATTATGAATCAATAATAATTCATTAATGTAGGGTTAAGAGATTAATACTTTGAGAATTCGTTTTTGGGATTATGATACTAGAATTCATTATTTTTAAGTTTTCTTGAGTTACAATGATTTTAGTGATTAAATAAAAATATATGATGGTTCTGCTTTTGGATTTGTATAGATAAATTTTTCTGGTCGATTGGTTTAAAAAATTACGATATATTCTTTTGGGTAATTCATATGATATTTATATGTCTGTAATAAAAATTTAGACCTTTTATTCAGTTAGAAATTTTTCAACATGAGTTAGTTTTTGATATTTTTCATATTAACATTATGTGTATTGTTCACCAGCATAATAATATGTTTCTTTAACTTTTCTATCAATAATAATAAACTCGAAATCTTAATCTGATATCATATTGAACAACAATAAAAATATTTCAAAAATCATTTATTAAAAACCAATTATATATCGATATTCACTTTCATTCATTTAATTTATTATTAAGTTTCGAACATTATAATTGAAGAGGAATTTCAAAGTAAAAAGTAAAGAAAAAATCTTTCATTTTATACTTTTCAAAATTTATTTTCTAATCTAAATTAAGTAACCATTAAACTCACAATTTTTTTTCATCAAGAGAATTGTCAAAAAAATAATAAATTCTTTTTTTATGTTGAGACATGAAAACTAATGCCTTCAATCAATAATTTAAGCATCACAATCACATTTTTGACAGTATTTTCTGATAAAATTCATGATTTTTGCTTGGGCTGGTGATATTGCCTCAAAAACTTCCTAATCTAATTTATTCCTTAGAAGCATAATATTTATTTATATTGCCATTTCCTTGCATTGAATTGGTTTTCAATCTAAAAAATCAATTTATAGATAGAAATACTATTTTCGAATAATCAATTTATTTTTTTGCCATTCTCAGAATTCGAACTTTAGTAAAATAAATATGAAATTTTACCAGCTATTTTTCCACTAATTTTAAGCAATTGATTGGTTATAAATTAAAAAAACCTTTCTTTGTTCTTACTTATCACTAGTTATTTTATGATTTCTTAATTTTTTGAAACTTTGTTGAGAGTTTATTAGAATAATTTGATCAATTCACACATCTAATGATGAGAATCATCTAAAAATTTTGTTTATGATATAATCAATTATAATATCAGCCGAAAAATACAGTGATATAATAGATTAAACAAAGCTCTGAGTCTTTACTGTAAAATCTCATAAATTAGTTTTCCATCAATAGCAATGTTTAATTATAAAATTGCTATTTTTTTTTATTTAGATTTCATCATTCAGATTTTAACTTTAAATGAATATAATCCTGGTCTGACTAAAATATATTAATTTTGAATTTTATTAGAAATCTTGTAACTTGGGCTTTGCTATGTTTAGAATATATTACCCATAAACATAAGATTTATTGACTATTAAATAATCATATTAAATTTAGCAAACTATGTTTTACAAACGGTTTCCAAAAATTTAGTGATACTAGTATGATCTTTATTTTTATTAATAATTTGAAGCTATTTTTCAGCCCTTACATTTGTTGTAATACTTATTTTATAACATTGGCTCAAACTTAGATCTTATTGAAATATTCAATTAAATTTTTGTTAACCTTTTTTATTATTTAGTTTGATTGTGATTTAATGAGGATCAACTTTAATTTGATTAAATTTATTTTTTAATTCTTCTAAGATCTTTTGTTGTTTCTACTCAAGAATATTAATTTAAATATTTCATACAAAAAAGAATAATTCATAACTATACCAAGATGCTCTAAATTTACTTTTCAATTTATATTCACAAAATCACTCCCTTTGAAATAATTTTGGTTATATCTAATTAATTTATTCTACTTCATTCCATTATTTTCTACATTTTCAATTCTTATTCACTTAGATTACATCTGAAAAAATTTGCTCCGAACAAAGAAGTATTTTTAATCTTAATTTTTTCAAAACATATGTTCTTTAGATCAACCTTCATTTAAACTAATAAATAAACTGAATTCGATCCACATTAGAAGAACTGGTTAAGATGTAAGGGGAACTAAACATTTTAACAATTCAACAATCTATCTTTTTTTGATATTCTCTTAAGAAGCTTTTAAATAGTATCAAAATAGGATTTCTGATGAATAGTCACTTTTTTTAAAGTCATCTTCAGAAATATTTTTGATAATATTAGCAATATACTTAAGGCGATTTTTTCAATACTTAATATTGATTTATAATTCACAAGTGACAAATTTTATGTCTATGAAATGTATTCTTTGTAATACTTTGGTATTTCATTTTGAAAGAGAAATCCTAAGCAATCTAAAATTTTCTCTTTTCTAAACATTTCAATCATTACACAAATTATTTACTAATCATCAACGACTACTTTTGATGATGCTAAAACATTATACAAATCTTCTTTCAGTTCATAAGGGCAATTTATTTTTAAATAATAGGAATGTATTTTAATAGAATTTGAGATTTTATGCAAATAGCGCCATCGTTAATTAAGGAAATATAGTTTTAATGGATAAGAATTTATTTTTAGAGAATAGTTTTTGACATAATAGTTTATTTATCGTTCATTAATGGTATAAAATATTTATTATTGTAATAAAAACAATAGAAGATATATTTGTTGATCTGCAGTCAAAATAATAATCTAGTCCAAATTTTGAACTTCTAATTAAATTTAATTTTTATTGTTAAATTCAATTTAGAAGATTGAGTAAAAATAAATTAACTACATATCACATTAATCTGTGAGTCTATTGGTTATGTTTTATACAAGTCATACATTTTGATTCTTTTTTAGGCTTCCCAATGCTCCTCATATATGATTTCATCAAATATAATTTTTCCTCCAAATACTCACTCATCAAATTTTTTAGATAAACGATTATTTTCGATTCAAAATTTTGATGAATATATAAGTCTATTTTTAAATTATATAATGTTATTAATAAAGACTTAAGACTAGCAGTAGTTTAAAACCTAAGATTTTTGTATTTTATGAAAAACATCTAATTTTCATATTTGTTAAGTATAGAATATTTATTTTAAAATAGTCTGAAATTGTTTATGAATAAGTAATTTGGAAATAATCAACAAACTATAATGATTCAATTATAATTAATGTCTATTTTCATAAACTTAAGACTTAGCATTAGTTTTTGGATATAAATTAAATATTTAGCAACTATCTGGCTATTCTGATATGAACGAGTTCTAAGTTAGGCTGAAAGTTGATGAATTCCATTCTCTAATTCTTATATTAAGTATTTTTCCAATATTCCCTTTATCAATTTTTCGATTTCAAATACGTTTCCTAACACAATTGTACTATAATTTTATCTTAATTAAGTTTCTTTTTATACGTCAATAACTTAGTTATTAAATCAAAAAATGAAACCTATGTATTAACTAATTTTTATTGAAAAACCTAATTTTGAATAAAATTACAATTTTTTAAAATTAGAACAGAACAATATGTAGATTTATAATCAATTTAATTGATTGAATAAATTTTCCTGATAAATAATTAATACAATCTATTTAAGTACTACATTAAGATAAATATTAAAAAGATTTATGGAAAAGAGGGACAAAAAATAAGATATTTTGCTTATTCAAATACTATTAAAATTTTAAGGTATTTGAAAAATTAGGTATGTCAAGATAAATAACATTAAGTAACTAAAATTTATCATGAGATGGAATTATCAGGTTGCCTACTTATTTGTTACAAATTAATTTAAACAGATATAACTCATAAACTAACATTAAAGGAGGTTTATGGTGATAATATAATTATATATTATTCACTTTTCCTTATTATAGAGTATAATCAAATAAATGAGTAAGAAAAACCAAGGTAGACATGTACTAACGATAAAATTTCTAATGAAATAAATGAATAGTTGATAATGCTTTATTAAAATTTTGTGAATAACTCATTTATGATATTTACAAGAAGGTAAATGAATTTTTTGAGGAATAGATGGTGTATGAATAAGAATTTAGATCTACTGTTATTTTGTTTGTAAAACCTATCAATAATTAATATTGGCTTTAAAATTTCTACCATTTATATAAGTAATTTGATGATATACTATAAAATAAATTACCTAATACCTTTTCAAAATTATAAAAGAGTTAAATTTTGATAAAATCAATAATATGATTTTGAATACAATTGTTTAATTTGTTTATTTAGAAAACAAGAAAATAAATCAAAAACTTAGCCAGTTTACTTCTAATAAAAAAGAGATCTAAAGATTTAGTAAATTTTTAGACTTACTATAATTTAAGATTGAAATGAGATTGATTCAACTTACGAAAAGCCTTTAAATGTTAAATCATCATATATGTTTGAATTGTAAACTTTTTTATTATAAAAATTTGTTAATTCTATCAAAGAATTTGTTAGAATTAAAAAATCACTCTAAATTGAGAAAATTTATTCTCTTATCTATTATATTATATGAATTAATTATTAAACACATCTTCCGAATTAGATTTAATTAATTGCGAATTCAATATTATTGTTGATAAAATTTCAAATGGAATTCATTTAAATGATGAACACATAGAAGATGATTTGAAAGTATTACTAGAAAAATTAGATAATGAAAATAAGAAAGAAAAAATCTTATTCTTACATAAAAATTTCCCAAAAGCCTCATTTCTAAACCTGCCTTATTTTAGACAAATAAATATAAACGAAAATAACACATAAGAATAAATTGACGGTTACAAATAGAGGTATTAAGATAATTTAAATGAAAAATAATTTGATTTAATTCTTTAGGAATTAAAAAATGAGCAATATTGCAAATGGAATTTGATACCTTGTTAGATTAAAGATTATCTTATTCCTCTTAAATAATTAAAAAATGGCATTCATTTAATTTTTGAACTTATAGAAATAATAAAAGATAAGACTTAATACAATTTTTTTTCCGTTTTAATACAGCTTATTAAATTGTTCTTTCTTGAATGTGATAATGAAATAAAAGGATAAATTCATTAAGTAGTAGGTTGTCTTTTAGAAAATTAAATATATAAATTTGAAAATTATATTTAAGAGGCTATGATTTAAAATGAGAAAACACAATTAATGTTTCAAAATTGTATTCAGAAGGTTTAATTCAAAGAAATATCAGTACAATAAGGAAAAGATATTTTATTCTAAAATTGTAAAGATTAATAAATCCTTTTTTTATTTGAATTATTTACTATCAAACTTGGATCTCATTTTGATAATTTATTGGGGTTTATGCAAAATTTACTTTACGTAAAAAATAAAGAAATAAATAAAGATGATTTGATTTCATACATTTCTTTAACAGAAAATTTTAATCAAAATTTAGATTTTCTATATTTTAAGCTAGTGTTCTATTTTTGGATTTAATATATTGATTAATTCAAACTAAAAGATAAAATATAAGAAATTGAATAGAAATTACAAAAAATATCTTAATTTAAGTAATAAGTATGTGAAAATTCTATTTAATATATTAGTTCACAAAACAAAAGCATAATTTTCAGATATGTTTTACAAAAAATAGTTTATTATAGTAATCTTTAAGATTAAGATTTCAAAGAAGGCTAAAAATAATAGGAGGCTTACGAGAAAGAATTTAAGAATAAATTTGACTAATTTAAATTCCAAAATTTAGAATTATAAGAATCAAATTTAAATGAAGTAGTAAGTATTTCAAAAAAAATTATGTTTTATCAGTTAATAACTTAATAAAATCAATGCCAAGGGTTTAATAAACAAATACATATCTTAAAATTTTTAGCTACTAATGATCTAACTGATAAACTAAAATAGATCTTTTTATAAATTATAAATAAAGGTTGTGAAGACAAGTAAATTGTTGATTTTTCTAAAATATAAAAGATTAACCTTCTTCATTTATAAAATGGTTTAGAAAATAAATCCTAAATAAAAATGTCAAGATTTGTTAATTAAAATGAGATTTTTTAATAATATCCTAAATAAATGAGGATAAAAATGGAAGAATTTAATATTTCATTAACTTCGAAAAACAATAAAGAGGATATTGTTTAAGAATGGTTAAAAGATAAAACCAATGAAAATAATTTCAAGAAATTGCTTCCTTATTATTTTAATATTATTAAAAGGAGAGAATCACCAGAAGATTTATTAAGCTTTATTAATAGACAGGATGGTAGAAAGAATGAATCTTTGAACTTAAAATCTTTATTTTAATTACTTTACAATAATTCAGATAAAGAACTTTAAGTTATGCTATTAAAACTACATTCGAAAAGCTATCCTGTTCCATTACTTTATCAAAACCCTTAATTAGAAAAGAATTTTACTTCAAATAAAAACTTTTATATCTTAAATTCAAATATGTTTTATCTTTTATCAAATGATTTTCCAATAATCAATTTTTCTTTAAGCAAAATAGTGAATTAATTTGGAAAATCTGAGTTAATCAATATGATATTTTATACTGAATATGAAGATTCAAAATTTGAAGTTTCTGATAAATCTTCAATAAACAATAGTTCAATAGATTGTTAATTTGATTTTTCCTTTAATGGAAGTAGAAATTATTTAATAGCTGATGTGCATGGATAGTTAGAAGATGAAATATATTAAGCATTACTTCCCTTTTTTTAATTTTGGATTATATAAATGCAATCAGATGATGAATTTGAAGAAAATGTTGATAAGTTAATGGGATTGTATGAAAAAATGGAATTCAAAATTAATCCTAAAATTGTTCTAATCATTCGAGACTCAGAACAAAAGTAATTAAATTAAGAAAAGTTTAATATGATTTAATAAAAAGGTATTGATGTTTATCAGATACCTAATTTACAAAGATAAGAGAATAAGGCTGAAGAAAAAGAAGAAAGAAAAAAAATAAAAGAATTTATTATAAAAAAAATAGACAATAAAAATGAAACAGTCAAAGAAGAAGAAATATAAGAATCCTTTTTAAATATTTGTAAAGCTTTTAATGTTAATGAAGATGAAATAAAGCAATCTTAAAAAATTCTTACAGATTTAACTTTCGAATTAGAGAAAATCATAAAGTAAGAAGATGGATTTTATTCAATTTAAGCATTTCCATTAAGAAATTTAGCATGGAAATTAAAATCGTTAAAAAAATAAAGATAACAATTAAATTATACTAAAAATTTATATGAATAAGAGTTAGAAAAAAAACTAAATGCCATAATTTAGATGAAATTCGATCAAAATAGTGATAAGTAGGGAAGATTAGATCAAAAAAAGAAAGAAAAATAAGAGATTGAGCAAAATATTAAATAAACTGAAGAAAATCTCATATTAATTACAAAAGAGATTGATAATTTTGAAGAAAAAAATACTAAACATAATTTTAATGAATCACTATTAATAAAATATTTTAGTTAAATTTTTGAATAGAACCATTTTTACATTACTTACATAAGTTTTGTTGAAAAAATTGCAAAATTCAACTCAAGGAATCTTAAAGATTTAAATTTAAAGATAGAGAAAGTAAAAGAATAACTTAAGTCTATAAAAGAAGAATAAAAATAAGAAATACAAATTCTAGAGAAAAATTTGAAAAATTTAGAAAATAAATATACAACCCAAAATATCAGTATTGAATTATTCTGGAGGGAAGTTATTAAAGGAAATAGTTCCTTTCTTTAAAGTCCTATAGTTATTGTATGTTAATTAATAAAAAAAGGAGAACCTTTTGAATTTTTAAATGGAGATGATCTTAGCATAGATTCAAACTTTTTACATCAATTACGAGAAAATTTATTAGATAAAGGAGATAATAAAATACTGTTTTTAAGTATATTGGGGCCATAAAGTTCTGGAAAATCTACATTGTTAAACAGAATATTTGGGTGCCATTTTTTAACTAGTATGGGACGATGTACAAAAGGATTATTTCTATAATTATTAAAAATATCAAATAAAGAATAATTTGATAATTTATTTGATTATATTTTATTGCTAGATTCAGAAGGACTTTAAAATCCTCATTAATAAGATCCAGAATTTGATAAAAAAATTACTCTTTTCATAATTTAAATAAGTGATATTCTTATATTTAATGTGAAAGGTGAAATTCATTCTACTTTTCATAATTTAATTGAAGCCAGTTTTTACACACTTGCAAAATATTCTAAATTAAAATTCTTAAAATAATTTTCTTGGTGTTTCAATTAAAATAGTTAATTAAACGAAAATGAAAAATTTAAATTATTAAACTAAATTGAAGATATAGGAAAAAATTTAGATGCTGAAAAGAGCTTAGTTGATGAAGATAATAATTAAATTAAATATGTTGAGCACTTAGATATACATGAGGATAATATCTAAATTTTGGGAATGGCTACAATTTCTAAAGAGTGGCAAAAATATTATTCTTAATCATAGAATAACTCTATCTAATATTAAGAAATTAACCAATAAGATTATTCCAAAAATGCCTTGAAATTTGGAATAAAAATAATAGAAAAGTATATCTAAAAGTATAAATAAACAAAAAATAATCATCATTAAATTTTAACTTGGGATGCGTTTATTAATAAAGTTGAATCGTGCTGGGAAATTGTCTCAAAATTACCTGATTTAGTAGAGTTTTCAGATTTAAAAGAGTAAAAAGATTATGAAACCATTAACAAAATTGCAACCGAGAAAATGACCAAAGCAAATGAAAAATTTCCAGATTTTGATTATATTATTCAATTGATCTAAGAAAAGAGTGAATCAAATAATTCTTTAGAAAATTATAATTTAATACAGAAGGAAATTTAAGATGACTTTTTATAATCATGTTATAATTAAAAAGATGAAATATTAAAGGATTTATAAAAGGAATATTCATATTAAATTATTTCAGATGCAATTATAAAAAAAGTAGAAGGTAATATAGCTGAAGTATACTATGCAATTGGTTTAGAAGGATCTTTAATAATCTTATAAAAGATTCACTAATTAAGGAGATAATTTCAATATAGTCTTGTCTCTGCAAAATTTGAATAGATTGTCAGTTAGTTATAAAATGATTAAGAATAATTATAAGAATTATTAAGAAACTCAAATTTAAGAAATAATAAATTTGAATAATTGTGGAATGAATAAGTTGAATCATCGAACAAAGAGATTGAAAACCTGCACATAGAATTTCAAAAAGCATTATTTGTCTGTTTTTAGAAATATAAGATATAGTATTAGTTCAAAACAGAGAATTTGGAAGATTAGATTGATTATTTTATAAAAGTAATAAACAAATAGGAGCCAAATGAAGAAAAAGAAAGTCAAATGGGGAAAATCTGCAATCTATTTTTGAAAGACTTTCAAAAAAAGAATTCTTTTAATACTCTGAATAAATAGAGTAAATAATAATATTAATAAATTTTTGAGGAAGATATTTAAAAAAGACTTGATAACATGCCTAAATCTCCTTTAATTGATCCATGGAAGTACTTGCAAAAGTAAACTACTTATCAAGTCATAAAAAAAAGTTAAATTGTTGATGAAGTTAAAAATAATTTAAAGTCAGTGTTAATTGAAATAATAAAGCAAAAGAAAGATGATGAAAAGTAAAAATTAGAAATTTAAGAATTATTTACTATATTGAATCAATTGCCTATTTAATTTGAAAAGAAAATTTAGGAGAATGTTCTTAATTTAGTTAATAGGAGATTTTTGAATTTCAAATAAATTCTTTATGGAACTTAAAAACAATCAACTCAATAACCAGAAATTCAAAAATACCCATAACCCAAATAATCTTAAACCAATTTTTCTTTTGTTCAAAATAAAATTGAATGTTTTGAACCAAAAAACTACTACTCCAATATTCAATATTATCAATAAACTAGTATTTCATATTAACAAATTTGTCAAAATATTCCAAATTCATTCAGTTATCAAAATTAATTAGGTATTCAAAGAATCACAAGTACTCAAAATCCATATAGTAATACTTTGAATTTTCAAAATTAATATATTTTTCAAAATACCCAAAATATACAAAGAAAAGATATATAGCCATTTAACTAAATCAATGAAAGTCTTATTATTGATAATCTAGTAAATTCTTTATAAGAATCTCAAGCTATATCCTAACCAATGAACATTTTTATTTTCAAATAAATCTAATAAAAGTTTCCCTCATTAATTGGATATTAAAAAAATTTAACAAATATGGATGAGAAATTAAAAAATCAATATTTCATTCTGAAAGAGCATGTTTCAATAAAATTTTCATAAAGTAACAAAAAAGCCTTAAATCAACAGTTGTTTAATTATATTATATCTTAAAAAAATAATCATATGGATATATATGATTTTTCATAAAATTTTCCCTCTATATTTATAGAAATAATGAATGAAAATTAAGGATGGATTAAATTATGCTCAAATATTTATAATATAATTTAAGATTAAATTTATGATACAAAATAATCTTAACCAAAGCAGTAGTAATCAGGTTCTGATATTTGGTAAATAATTTCCATGGATGAAGATGTTACATAATATAGTCGACAATTATTATAAGGATTAATATAAAAAGTTGAAAATAAACTAGAATCAATTAATAAAGAATTAGCTTTTTTTGGGATTGAATTTAGTCAATTGTTAATTCGAAAGCTATAATTTTTTGCATTTTTTATTATTTGGAGATTTATTTGTTATGATAAATTGAAAATGTATGAAAAAGAATAAAATAAATTTTTGGAAAATAAAGCAATAATGAAATGTAAATATGAAAATGCATTATAGCAAAACCTATTGTAGGATTGCAAAGATTAAGCAAAATAATAGGCAAAATTAATTTATAGACTTTGTATCGCATAATTTTACAAAGAAAATAATGGAAATGTAACAAAATAAATTAATAAAAAATAAAAGACCTCTTATTAACTGATAAAAGATTTAGATTAATAATTACTGATTATTAAGAAGGAGGATATAATTTAAGGTTAAAGTTTAGAAGAATCAATTATTGAATACCTAAGTAACTAAATAGGATTTATGAATAAATATATTGGATAGTTCATATAAAATCTTCAAAAAGAAATTGAAAAATAATTAGAATTATAACCTTATGTGTAAAATCAATTAAATTTAATAAAAAATAATACATCAATTTTACTTGATAGAATAACTAATTTCCAGAAATTAAAACCTTAAGATTAATTTTTTGGTTTTGAAAATCAAAGGCTATCATTATATTTAATTTTATATTATATTTTAGGATATAATATTGGGAATATGGAACAATTAAAATACAAATAGATATTTTTACCTGATTAGAATATTAAAGAAGTTATCCTTCCAATGGAAGAAATTAAAAAAAATTAGGTGGGTATTAATATATTATTCTTATCAGAATTTTTGAAAGAATTTATATCCTAAATTTCTATCTTTTATGAATAAAGTTAAACATTAAAAACATCTATTGATGAATTTCAATTAAAAGGAAAATTTCAAGAGATGAAAAATATTATGAATGGTTGTGACTAATCATGTCCTACTTGTAATAGAAAATGTGATAGTGAGGAATTTTTAGATAAAAATCATAAACATAAGTGCAAAAATGGTCATTAATTAAGAGGTACATATTATATATATATTCATAAGGAATGAATAAGATATTGATTCGAAACTCCCCATCTCTCTTTACTTGCGAGGAAATAGTTGACGAGACAGAGATTTTAATAAAGGAGACTTCTAAGATTAAAACCTGGAAAGAAATTAAAGCATACTATAAGAATTGGAGTTTTAAGGATATTTTATTAACAGAGCAATTATAATAAAATAAATAAAAGATGATAGAAATATGGAACGGAGGAATTGGCTAAAAGATTTGTGATGAATTATCAAAAGAGTTAAAATAGCGTGTTCTTTATTTAAAAAAATATGATCTGACTATGTATTAGCAGCATAGTTCAACACACTATATTTTCATCCTAGATGATTCTGGATCTATGAAGGATCAATGGAATTCTGTTATTAAGAGTGTCGAAACATAATTTTAATAAATAAGTAAGAAAGAAAATGCTAGAATAAGTGTTGTGATATTTAACAAAGATGCAAGAGTTGTTATAAAATGTCAAGAATTAAAAATTGAGGAATAGTTAAAATTAATTACTTATATGAGTGGAGGAACAAATTATGGGCCTGCATTTAAATAGACACTTTTACTTTTAAAAGAAAATCCAGAATTCAATAAGTAATATTTCTCATTTAATTTTAGTTCAATAATTCTTTTTTACACTGATGGTTTAGCTGAATACCCTTAGAAAGAAATTGAAGAGTTTAGTAAATTATAAAAAACAATTAAAGATACTATTTATTTTTTAGCTTGCTCATTACCTAATAAATCAATATCATTAGATTAAATTTTAAATTTTTGTTAAAGAGAATTTTCTTATGCAGAATGGAGGGAAAAGATAGAACCATCTAACCTTAATAAAAATTGGACAGAAATGATTTCTTAAACAAATTTTGATAAATATAAGGCTTGATAATTATTATTTATAATGCGAAAAAATATATAAATTATTAATAATTATATCTGTATCATTTGATTATAATCTCTTTTCCATCAATTCAATAATGATATAATTGGTTATTTTCAATACTAAAAATATTTCAAGAGAAATCTAATATTTCGAAATTTCTAATCTTTGGAAAAAATTCTATTAGTTCTAAATTAATTCTCCACAAAATAAAACAAGCTCAGAATTTGCAAATATCAACAAAAAAGATCATTTTTGATTCATATTGATTTCAATACTAGTAACAATTCAATTATTAAATTATTGAGATAGGATCTCAACTCAAATAAACAAAGAGAATCAAAAAATCATTTTGAAGGCTAATAGAATTGTCAAATTACTTTCTTCCCATTTTTCTGCAAAAAAGTCTTCCAGTCATTAAGTGTAAAAAAATCATATTTTTTTTCAATATTTTAGTAAATTATTGTTTAATTTTCTTGATTAGAATAGGAATCAAGGAAGATGATTTATACCTGCAACAGCCATAAAATTATATATTAACCAACTTTTCATTCGTAATTTTAGGCTAACTAAAACATTCTTTTGAAATAAAAAAATTAAAGGAAATATTTGTACATTTTGATCTAGCCTCGATGTAGTTTGAAATTCTAAATACTCTTAAAAGTATTTTAAAAGGAAAAATCTTTCTTATTAGACTATTAGTTGAGAACAATGAATTGAATTCTCAATTTTATTTTTATTTGTTTATAAATTAATAATCTGTCTTTTATCTTAATTTATGTACATTTAATTTATTTTGAAATATTAAAATTCTTTTTTATGATACTACTCTTTTTATTAGTTAATGCAACTTATCAAACAGTGATTTATCAGTTTTAAGCAAATTTTAACATAATAGATGGTAATTTATTAATTTATAGATATTTAATAGGATGGGAAGATTTAGAAGGTTATTCTAATTTCTTTACTTGTGGAGTGCATAAATATTTCGGTTCACCTAATAATTTTTTTTTTATTAGCAGGATATTTGTTGATTTAGAACCTCATTCTCATATTAAAATGGAGGCAGAATTTTTAAGGTAATTATTATTGTTAATTCCAAAGAATTGATGATTATGCTCCTCTTTATTTTGCAATCAATTTTATAAGAATGGATTATGCGTTAGTGGTATCTGATTAAAATAATATTTGTGGTAATTCAAATTCAGAATAAATACATACTATTTCTTTAATTTATTCTCATAACAGAAGATCTATTTGGATAGATTCAAAATTTTATAATGGAGGATTGAAATCATTCACTTTAAGTATCATTAAATGTTAGTATGAAAGTGCTGGATGCATTGAGAATTATCCTAATTATTAATTATATTGGACATTGCATTAATATTCATTTAATCATAAGTTGATTACGAATTTTGATGGATGGACTTTCGCAACAAATTATATTACTAACTTATTTTGTGGAAGATGCGAATTTGTCGAATTTACTCAAATTACATATTCTACTTAAATACCTCCTCATGAATATATATTAATAAGGTTTTTTAAAGATGATTGGAATACTATAATAGTAGACTATGTATATGGTAAATAAACTATTAGTACCAATTATTTAGTAGAAATATTAATAAAAAATCATTATGGTTCTGAGCTTTTACTGGATATTAAAACTTAATCAAATTCAATTTATAGTAAGATAAGAGATTTTGAATTATTTTACTCTAAGTCAGAAGTACAAATTTAAAGTTTTAAAGAAGGTTGTTTGGAATAAGTTTATGATACATGCCTGATTTGCAGAGAAGGTTGGATTTAAGATGAATTTCTAGAAAATTGTATTCCTATATGTGGTGATGGAATAATTTAAGGTTAAGAGGAATGTGATGATGCTAATCTAATATCTAATTATTCTTGTTACTAATGCAAATATAAATGTATAGAATTTTGTTAAATTTGTTAATTTGGAATTTGTTTACAATGTGTGGATGGATTTGAATTTTCTTTAAACAGGCAAAAGTGCATACCTATATGTAATGATGGTATCATTTAACAATTTGAAATATGTGATGATTAAAATAATATTTAATTTGATGGATGCTACAAATGTTAATAAAATTGTGATTTAAGATGTTAACTTTGTATAGATTAGAAATGTTAGTTTTGTGAGATAGGATGGGAACTTAGAGATAATAAATGTTATTCTATTTGTGGAGATGGATTAATTGTTTAATATTCATCTGAATAATGTGATGATGGAAATTAGATTAAAAATGATGGATGTTTTGATTGCCAACTTGAATGCAAATCTAATTGTCTTATATGCTTAAATTACTAAGTTTGTATTATTTGTTAAGACCATTATCAGTTAGAAGGATAATCATGTATACCAATCTGTGGTGATGGAATTATTATAGCTGGATTTGAAGATTGTGATGATGGAAATATTGAACCAAATGATGGATGTTATTAATGTAAATATGAATGTTCATTAGGCTGTCTTGATTGTGAAAAAGGAGGATTTTGTAAAAAATGTGATAATTAATATATCTTAAATAATCAAACAGCTTAATGTTAATAAATAGAATATTTAAATAATTAGAATTAAGATATAGATAAAAATAAAGATGAAATTAAGAATCCCTTAAATATTTTATGTCAAAGAAACTTCATTTTAATAGATGATCAATGTGTTAATTAATGCGGAAACGGATTACTTTAAGAATAAGAGAAATGTGATGATGGAAATGATTAACCAGCCGATGGATGTTAAGATTGTTTAATTTAATAAAATTGGAAATGCATCACAATAATTAGAGATTCTCCTAGTTAATGCACATATGTCAAGGCTCCAAACTTAGTAATTAATTATCTCAATATGACTTAAAATAAATAATATATAAGCATCTAATTTAATGAATAAGTAAAGATACTAACAAATTAACTTTTATCAGAAACTATAAATTTTGAATTATTAAATATAGATAAGAAGAAATGGAATAGTAGTTTAAATATAATTTAGGATGTTGGATTATATATGAGTTTTGGAGAATATGTTGTTTAAATAGAAGTTTACTAATTACTTGAATTTAGACCAATCCTGAAAATATTATTAAATCAGACAGTTGTTAATATAAATAATGCTGCTTTAGAAGACTTCGAAAGATCTATAACATTATAATATCCAACATATCTAGATGAAAAATAAAAAGATTATTCAAATAAGTTAAAAAGCCTTAATTAATATATAATATATGGTTTGTCTGGAATTACTGGTGTAAATCTTCTATTAGGAAGTGGAGAGTTATTTGTTGAAATTTTGGGAATTCTGTAATTTTAGTAATACTTAAGATACATCAATCTCTAATTTCCTGAAAATCTAGAGATTTATTTTTCTATAAATGATATGATAACTGTTCAACCACTATTAGATTTTATGCAATTTCAATAATTTTAAAAATTTATCAATATTGAATCAAATTAAGAATATTCAGATGGAAAGTTTAATTTATACAAATAAAACTCAAGTTTAATCATCAATCTTTAATGCCAAATAATTTAATGTTTAATATTTTTATTCCTTATTCTGTTGTTTAAATGGATTAAAAATGATATGTATAAATCGATTTTTTGTTAAAAGTACTTTTATTTTATGTCATCTTTATCATAATATATAAATTCAAAGATAATTTTCAAATTTAGCAAATCCTTTTATAACATTTGTTTAGCTCTGCTTAAATTGGAAAATTATATATCTTTTTAAGGAATATAAAAATCCTTACTTTTAAATGGTTGGGATATGATATTTAAAACATTATTGTATACACGAAACATATAAACTCAAAATTACTTAGATATTTTACAACTTATTATAGCAAGCATAATTCTTATTCTTTATTTTATTATCTTACTAAATATTTTCAAAGTTAAATATAAATTTACACAGATCAATAAGATGTTAAGGTTTGAAATTCTAAGTTTTAGTAGACAATTTTTCTTTTTAACATTTTTGATTTATGTTTAAAATTCCTAGATACTTTAATTAGGATTACTCTTTCTGACAAGCATTTTTTAGATTAGATTCATATATAATTATCGTTTTATTTTTAATTAAAAGAATTATATTATTTAAATGGTAGTTGAGATATCAGTATTAACTTTTATCATTAGTTCATTTTTATACATAGAAGAGTTTAAAGAATATTTTAATGAAGAGAAAAAAATTCTACTGGGTTTGATTCAAATAATTATATTATCTAAAGGGATAATAATAGAATTAATTTTGATCTTTTGGGAGTTTTTAAAATTTATATACAAATTAAGAAAAGACTCATAAGTTGTTAGTAGTCAATTATTTTAATGACTATTATTGAAAGTGAATTATAGTTAAACCATAAAAATTATAAAATATATTTTTCATATCTTTTTTAACTTATGCTTATATTTTCTATATTTTACTACAAACCTATATCTAGATTGTAGTATACTAATTTTTGCTAGAGAGGGTAGAAGTTTTTTTAATTTTTTGGCTGTTTTTATTTGGTATATTTAAATAGGAATGATGTAATTAAATAGATAATCATTTAATAATTAATTATCTGTTAAAGTAGCAACTTATAATTTTTTATTTATTTTTCAAAATAAAATCATTCGCTTAATTATTAGTATAGAGTCTTTAATTTTAATCAAGATGAGCTTTCTAGTTGTTATAAATAATTAAAATTGAAAATAACAGTTAAAATAAATTAATTCTCTAATTATTAATAGGTGAAAATCAGTAAGAAGATAATAATTTGAATACAGAAATTTTAAGATGGAAAAGAGAAAATATAATCACTGAGACATGAAGATCCAAATTATTTTATAACCAAAATGAAACTTCCTAATTGATGTAATTTAGATTTGTTTCCCCTAAAAATTCAATATCCTATTAATTGAAAACTAAATTATAGGTTTTCTCTATTTTATCTCCAAAAATGAATATTAATATAATATATCTAACTTCTTATCATAATTTCATCTAAAAGTATAGACTAATAAATTTTAATTGAATATTAATTAAAGTATTATAAATTTTACATACGTGTAATAAATTGTTTTTTCAAATTATATCTCATATGCTTTGTCATTAACTTAATTTCTTACTGCTTATTCTATTATTAAACAAAAACTTCTTAGATCATAGACAATTCAAATTCTATCAATTCGAACAATCCTTGACAATGTCAAAAAAGTTTCCTTGAAATGCAAAAATAATAAGTAAAAATTAGTTTCATCTCCGATTAAGTTTAATAAAACAATGAAAATAATAATATTGGTCTTAATCTCGATTATTAGTTCCTTTTAGAATAATAAATGTGAAACATTTGTTTTAATATCCTTTTTTTTCTAGTATAACCATAATATCTATAGGAAAATACTTCTCATCAATTATGGCTATTTCATAAAACTCCATCTCAAAATCTAAGTTTTAATAGANTGCTTATATTTTCTATATTTTACTACAAACCTATATCTAGATTGTAGTATACTAATTTTTGCTAGAGAGGGTAGAAGTTTTTTTAATTTTTTGGCTGTTTTTATTTGGTATATTTAAATAGGAATGATGTAATTAAATAGATAATCATTTAATAATTAATTATCTGTTAAAGTAGCAACTTATAATTTTTTATTTATTTTTCAAAATAAAATCATTCGCTTAATTATTAGTATAGAGTCTTTAATTTTAATCAAGATGAGCTTTCTAGTTGTTATAAATAATTAAAATTGAAAATAACAGTTAAAATAAATTAATTCTCTAATTATTAATAGGTGAAAATCAGTAAGAAGATAATAATTTGAATACAGAAATTTTAAGATGGAAAAGAGAAAATATAATCACTGAGACATGAAGATCCAAATTATTTTATAACCAAAATGAAACTTCCTAATTGATGTAATTTAGATTTGTTTCCCCTAAAAATTCAATATCCTATTAATTGAAAACTAAATTATAGGTTTTCTCTATTTTATCTCCAAAAATGAATATTAATATAATATATCTAACTTCTTATCATAATTTCATCTAAAAGTATAGACTAATAAATTTTAATTGAATATTAATTAAAGTATTATAAATTTTACATACGTGTAATAAATTGTTTTTTCAAATTATATCTCATATGCTTTGTCATTAACTTAATTTCTTACTGCTTATTCTATTATTAAACAAAAACTTCTTAGATCATAGACAATTCAAATTCTATCAATTCGAACAATCCTTGACAATGTCAAAAAAGTTTCCTTGAAATGCAAAAATAATAAGTAAAAATTAGTTTCATCTCCGATTAAGTTTAATAAAACAATGAAAATAATAATATTGGTCTTAATCTCGATTATTAGTTCCTTTTAGAATAATAAATGTGAAACATTTGTTTTAATATCCTTTTTTTTCTAGTATAACCATAATATCTATAGGAAAATACTTCTCATCAATTATGGCTATTTCATAAAACTCCATCTCAAAATCTAAGTTTTAATAGATATTTTTTTAAACATTTCTTTAAGTATATTCACAGTTGAATATTGTTTTAAAAAAAGACTAATACATATTTAATTAATAAGATACAATTTTTAATTCTAATGAAGAAGAATGAGAATTAATATGATCAGTAGTTAAGAAGGAGGCAAAATTGTTGAAATTATAAAGAAAAAGGCTGTCAATTTTCTGACCATTCTGTGTAATAAATTTCAGAAAAGTCTGAAGGGGTATTTCATAGAAATGGCACATGAAGTTTTAAGATGGAATTCTCATCTTAAATTATTATACAGCTAAAAAAGCATCAGAGAAGTGATTTTTACACCTTTAAAGTTTTGAGTAAACCTATTATTTCTTCAATATCCTATTTCACTTACAATACAACCGTCAAAACCAGCATTGCACACTATATGAATTATTAAATATTTATGTAATTTTACCAGTTATCAGCTATTTATTTTATTTCCTTTCAGTACAAATATTTTTTATCCTTATTTAAAATTTAATACTTCTTTAATATTTTGGAAAGCATTTTCTTTTGAAGAAAACTGTAACCTTATATCTCATTTAGTTGATGAATTTATTTAATTAAATATCACATATGTCTATTTGTTATTTGAAGTTTTTTCTGAAAAATTATATTATTATTTTAAATTTAAATTAATATTTAAAAAATTGAATTTTCTTCTTTTATTGAATTAATAATTTAAGAATTCTTTTTGAAAGAAAGGGGGGAAAGTAAGTATTAGAGTTTCAGAGTTCAAGCCAAGTTGATAAAACAGAATTATAACCAACTTTAGTGATGATTATCAGTATTTAAAAAAACTAGTCAAGCCCATAAAAGAATTGAATAATGCGGTGAAGTTTAGAAATTCGAAGATTTAATTGAAAATAAAAAGACTATCTTTTAACTCTTTGAAAGAAAAGGGATAATAAAGTAGCATTCTAAGATTTAGAACTGTAAAATACTCAATCATTTAACTTGATTACTGATTATTTTAGATAACAGGCAAACTATTAGCATTTATAATTCACCATTGCTAATTTAAACAGGAGCACAATTAGGATCAAGTTGTAGGGCTGAACAATAATCATTAAATGCCTTTTCTTTATCACCTATTTCTTCATATAATACACCTAATCTAGAGTTTATAAATCACCTCTCCTTAAAAAGGCTTGAGATAATTGAGGATCATGTAATATTGCCTAATTATAATCACTCAATGCATTTTCTCTATTTCCAATTTCTTCATATAATAAACCTAATCTAGAGTTTATAAATCACCTCTCCTTAGAAAGGCTTAAGATAGTTGAGGATCATGTAGTATTGCTTAATTATAATCATTCAATGCATTTTCTTTATTACCCATTTCTTCATATAATAAACCTAATCTAGAGTTTACATATCACCTCTCCTTATAAAGGCTTAAGATAGTTGAGGATCATGTAGTATTGCCTAATTACAATCACTCAATGCATTTTCTCTATTTCCCATTTCTTCATATAATACACCTAATCTAAAGTTTAATATATCACCTCTCTTAAAGAACGCTAATGAAAATTTAGAGTCATGTGTTATTGCTTAACTATAACCACTCAATGCTTCTACACAATTACCCATTTCTTAATATATTAAACCTAATTTAGAAACACTAACTCACCTCTGTTAAAATAAGCTACAGATAATTTAGGATTAAGTATTATTGCTTAACTAAAATCGTTTAATGCTGATTATTTGTCACCCAATTCATGATATAATACACCTAAAGTTAATTTTTGTGATTAACCTCTATTATTATATACAAGAGCAGATGATGGATTAATTTAAATTGACTATTCATAATCTTTGAAGGCTTAATCAATATTTCCCTTTCCCTTATTTAATAGACCTTCTTTAAAAAAAAGTATTTACCTCTCTCCATAGATACCTAATGACGAGCAGAATCATCATAAATTTATTCATTAGATGATTCAAGTTCTTTAATTTTAACCCTAAAATTTTAGACATATATATTTAACTGTTTTTTAGACCCTTCTTCTTCTGATATTATTTCAATACAACGCTTGTAATCGTATGAAACTTTTTCAATAGACTTAAACATTTAGTAGATGAAAAAGATGTATAAAAATTTAATAAATTATTAATTGATTTTTGGTTTTATATTACACTTTTTACCAAGTTTTTGGTTAAGAGGGACTTGGCTATTAAATTTTATTAAAGATCAAAAAGTCAGATTATATGGTGAAAAAAAGGAATATTTGCCTTATGTTGAATGGTCAGCTTAATAATTTAAAAATATTAACAATCATTGAAGAGAAAATTATAAATAACAAACTAAAATTATAAATTAGAATGAACCAATTATGTGATTAATTATAACTTTTAGTAAAAATATTTACTGATTGCTGGCTTTAGAAAATAGATGATCATTCAAAAACATCAAGTTTCCTACAATTAGCAATATGATTAGATAGTTAAATAGTAAAAATCTTGCTATTAACAGTGTTTTTATTTTTTCTATTTTACAAAAAGATAAGAAAACATTTATAAAAAATGATGATCTTTATTTAAATTTTAAAATCATTAATTCAGCCCTTACCAGCAAAAGATGTCATGTTTGCTAATGTTGATTGTAAAATTCTTAATTTTCGTTAACTTGCAACCATATCAGTTTCTAAAATTCCATGTTTGACCATTTTCTTTGCCTAATACAATTGTAATTAATTCAAAGTTCTAAATGTTGAAAATTTCTAATTAACTTCCATATTCATTGATTATAATTAACATCCTAAATGTTATTTCCAAATAGCAATCATTGGAGTACTATTGTCACCAAGACCTAATTGATCTAAAATTTTCATCAAGGCTGCTCTTCCCTTTTAAATTGCTTAAAAATAAGGATTAGTTGAGTCCAATCCTACTTCTTGTTTTGCAAAATCTAAATCACATCTTCTAGCCATCAAAGCATACATGTAAAGCATGTATTTCATATGAGGATGATTATTATAATAATAGGTTGCAATTTTGTTGATCAATTCTTCTGGAACTCTATCCCAATAAGCTAATTCTGGATGAGTAAAGGAGCATCTGTCACTATTACAATAAGCTTGAACGATGGCTCTCTAACTTTTTATACTTTCGAAGGGTCTAGCAATCTCTCTACTTCCTGCAAAATTGAAAGACTCCACCATAGTTCTGACAACTTAATTTTTCACATACAAGTCATTGTATTCCTTAGCCTTTTACATAGCTCTTTAAGGAACTCCAATTACATTATCTACTTTATACATATCATTTACCTAATTCAAACAAAAAATCCATATATTCATAAGTAGGTTCGAAATCATCACTATAATTAATATTGGCTAATCCATTTAACAAAAAAGTGAAAGCAACATCTTCACTGGCAAATTCTGATGTAAAATAGTGACCTTAAATTGTTCTTATATGTCTTTTTCGTTGTGCTCTAGTTAAAGCTTAATATTTTGTATGGATCAAAGTATATGGTCCACCTCCTCTTTCTGGAGTAATACCTTACCCCATGTAAATGTACTTTTCTGGATTCCTTTTGTATTCTCTCATATTTCTAAGTTCAGTCAAGATTAATCCATCTCTTTATCGTGTGTCACTACTTGCAATCATAGTTATTTTAGAATCAGTATTATTTGTTGATGAAAAGGTTTCTAACAAAGGTACTATTTCTACATTCTAAACCTTATATAGATTGATAAGATCATTCACTAAATCATATTATGATTAAGTTTAGAAATTAGCAATAATAACCATATCTGCTGCTTATCCATTGGCATTTAAAAGAGAAATTTCTTTGAATATATTTTTAATCATCGGTTTGATTTTATTAATCTTAAATATATATAAGAATTAATACATCTGTTAAATCTTCACCAGCTAATCTAATTTGTCCCAATACTCCTGTTAATCTGAAAATTGAATAAAGTTTTTTCAATTTTAATGCTATAAAATAGTCTTTAGAATCATCATTCTTTGTCAGAATGTGATCAAGAATTTGATTAATTTAATCCTCTATTTTTTTGATATTAAAGATAGGCATTTATTAATAGAATTCTTCAAGGGATATCTCTTTCTTAACTCTAAATTTATCACTTAAATCCCTTAAGCTTTTACTATATTCTAAAGCTTATTAATATAATTCTAAAATTTGTTTAAAATCTTCATTCTCGTCTAATTTTGCTTCAGAAATGTATTCTTTATATTATTATAAGGTTAAGTCAATTGTCAAACCATGTGTATAAGTCATAATACCAATTTCCTAAGAAATATATATAAAATGCTTACCATTCCTGGATGATTATCGAAATCAAATGTCAACCAAGTACCTGGAGTCTCAAAATATTCTTCAGGGTGCTACAAACCTAATTCATAAGCTTGAGCTACAGCCTTAATAAGATTAGGTAAATATTAGGTATGATAAATTAATGATTCCTCAATGTAAGACACTTTCTATAATATATAAAGGTGGATGATTACATTAAAAACTCGTTATTTATTGGATTAAATAAATAACTTAGCAGCATACTTAAGATACTTGTAATCATTTTATTCAATCCCTTGTAGCATTCTACTTATAGCAATCAACTAAGTCAATGAATTTGGTTAAGTTGGATGAGAAGTAAATACATACTTCACTCGATTGATTTTAGACTAAAATTTTATATATAAATATATTAGTACTTTATCTCGTTGATTAAAATATTCGATAATTCTGAATTAGTCAAGATATTCATATCGAGCATAATGACTACTCAATCTATCAAATATCATTAAGCTATAGATGTGCCACAATAATGGTTCTGGCAAATCCTTTTCTTCACAACTCAAGGCCTCCATGTCTTTCCCTTAATAAGTATTATCAAAGTAGATGGACAAGGCATCTTAGAATAATTAAGCTTCTTCTTGAGTCAAGTTATCAACATAGGCATCTAAGAGTTAAAGCATAGTCTTTTTTTTTCTGGGATTGATATGTCGAAAGTAATTATTTCCTAAATCCATGAGTCTTATAGGAGATTATTCAAGCATAGGTTCTTCTTATATGAATTTTTGAATCTCGATGATAGAGCACCTTTTGTCACTAATAAATATTGAACATTTGATTACTCTGCATTAGCTGCAATCCAAAGCATGTCATTTTCTCTTAATTACTTTTCCTTGACGTTCTCAGATAAGAGATACTATGGCATGTATTTTAAGGTCTAGTTTAGATGAGTTGCTCTTCTAAGATGGGATGTAATCGATCGTATCATATTATTTAAATTAATTATAATTTGTTCTGGAATATTGAAAAATTTCTACTGATAATTTATTCAGGTCTTTAATAATATAAAACATAGAATAGGAACAATTTTATCATAATTCAATACAAATTAAATTCCATTTTGATTATCTTCCATATATTTTTTTATTTATTTGTTAGAATCGAAGAATATAAATAAAATTAAGTAATTCAAAATGAAAATTTCTAAATCGTATGATGAATCTGATCATGATTTCAGGTTTATCTTGTTTACACGATGAAAGTTGCAATCACAGAGTAATCGTAATTTAAATTTATTTTAAAATTATTTTAACTCATATAATTATTAACATAAAAATTAGATTTTAAATTTTAAATTATTCATATAAAATACAGCACTTTATTATTTTCCTAATCAATTAGTAAAATTTGCTCATAGATTTAACAATAGCTATTAAAATATAAGCAAGATTTTGTAATAATATTAAGAACCAATAATGATAATAGCTTAATTTTTTTTTAATGCAATATTTTAGATTGCTTTAAAATAAAAGACACTAATCCAATATGATTTGAATTTAAGTAATTCTAATTCTAAATTTTTCAAATAAAACTATATTAATATAAGTTTTATATCGAGGCAAAATTTCAGAAATCTTAATAATATAATTTTTATAGCTTTTTCTATGTGCTGAAACTTTTTTTGCTAAACTTTAATTTATATAAATATTCAATAAAATGAAGAATGGGTAATGTAAGTAAAACTCTATAAGTTTTTGTATCGTGATCATATTAATCTATGAAATTTAGTTGAGATCCTTCTTAAATTTGATGAAGTTAATTTTACAATCATAATCTTTATTTATTCTAATTCAATTATAATTTCAATTCATTCATCCTGGTTAAAGCATTAACAGGATGATTTAAAATGCTATAAAAACATAAAATGTAAATATTACCTTTTTTGATCACAATTGTATTTATATATTATATTTTGAGGTTCTATGAATGAAAATATATTTCAAGTTAATAGTGTATTTTAGTGATTTATCTAGTCATTTCACTATCATTAAATCAATTCTTTAGTATTTGTGACTTTATTTTAATAATTAAACAAGTTGTTCAGAATAAACAAGTACTGGACTGTAAAATTATTCATATTTTTTATATTAAATTAATATAAACATCAAAAAATTGTTATTCTAAGAAATAGTATTTTAATTAATTAAAGTTATTAACATACAAGACATATTTGTGATTTTATTTATTTGGGAATAATATTAGTTTAAGCATAATAATAATATTTTGACTGAATTCAAATTTAATGATAAAATATTTAATTATATTTCTGTTAAAGATTAATATAATCCTTAAGTATTTCTTATAGAATAGTTTTCATTTGATTAAGTATGGTGATCCAAATTATCATATATTAAAAATATATGCTTTTTATTTTTCATTCTAATTTCTTTATCATAGCTTAAATTATATATATTTTATAAATCCAATTAAATTATGAGTAGACAATTAAATTTTTATTTTTATCCTATTTTGTTATATAAATTACCCACATCACCTAGATATTTTATATTTTTAACGCTCATGATATATATTTAATTAAAAAATTTGAAGATCAGAAAATAATTATTTAAAAATAATTAAATACTCAAATATATATATAAGAAACCCAATATTAAGGGTTAATTATTTTAAGTTGAATTCAATTATAAATGGAGCTATTGTTAAGGTTTTATTTAATTAAAAGAAATTAATTATTGTTAATGATTAAGAAGGGAAGATTCATGTTTTTTGAACAATCAGTATTTTCAATTCTTTTTTTATTGACTACAAGTTGTCCTTTACTTGATTATGAATAGTCCTTGTTAAGTAGCACAGATCCAATATAAGAAACCATTATAGAAGGTATAGGGTCATCTTAAAGTTTTGCTTTTTGGAGTTTTAGTATTCCAATGTGGGAAGTAAAGAAATACCCTTAGGTTGAAGAAAAATTATATGGTGATAATAGAAATGAATAACTGTTATTTGTATTGAAATCACTTGATGATGAGAGGGTGATTATGTTTATGCATCTTGCATTTTCAGATTTCTTACCTTTTGTCTCACATAGACTTTATGTAGAAGAAGAGATTGATAGTAATAATGTGTTTAATTATTTCTATATATCATCTCAATATGAAGGAATTTGGACTCTTACGATAATAACTATATAATAGAAAAGTGTAATTGTAGAAACGGATGCAATATCAAGACATCAAATACCTGATCTGTCTTAAGAATTGAATAATGTTAAATTCATAATAGGCGGAACAGGAATAGTAAATGTAAATAAATAGATTTTAGATCAATTCATCCCATTAATTGGGGATTTTTAGAGGAAGGTTATCAAAATTAATAAAGTTTACGGATTATTCGGCAGGTTCCTTTTAATTTATTAAAGTAAATTGTGCAATCCCTCGTAATGTTGTAGGGAAATAAACTGTAAGTTTGATACCAGGATTGAAGAACTTCGAAGGGGATACATAATTGAATTTTGAAGTGAATTAAGTAGGATAGAAATTTTACATTTCTGGTTGGATAAAACTGGATCCATCAGAGGCTAGTTTTATTACAACATATTTGGTTCTTCGATTAACAACTTTTAAGTTTTATTCTGATGAATTGAGATTGGGAGATGAAATACTAAAAGTAACTGTAGATTTAGATCTTGCTGATCCAGCTAATAGTGGATATAATATAATATCTCATCATTATGCTATGCCTATTTAAGGAGCAGTCAATCCTAGTTTTCTAGGCAAGAGACGATTAGAAGATCCATTAAGTCCTAATTTCTAATATTAATTGACTAAATGGCATTTTATGGTATTTCAACATGGATTATCAGGAATGTATAAAACAGAAATGAGAATCAATTTTTAATAGGGAGCCTCATATCAATTGAATATCATACCATTTGATGATTTTAATGCATAAGGATTATTTATAAATACAAAATACTATATTATTTTTGGAGGTGACTTGACTGTATTTAGAAAATTACGTGGAAAAATGTAAAATTTTCAAATTTGTTACAATTATGATATAGATGAAGATATATAATTTTGTAAGTTTATAATAGTAACTTTAAAGAATGTCATCCTACATGTTTTAATTGTATTGGGCCATTAGCATCTAATTGTATGGGATGTTAAAGTGATTTAAATAGAAGATGGTCAGAAGATCTTAAGACATGTTTTTGTAATTATGGTTATTTAGAGATTGAAGGAATTTGTTATTCATTTAATGAAATCTATCCAACACTTCAATTTGATGAGATGCCTATGGATTAGACAAGTTCTATTTGTCCATTTGGTTATTTCTATTTGGAAATCAATAATGAATGCATTTAATGGTAATTTCATTATTTATTATATAGTCCATAAAAAACTTCAACAGATTTATTATGTGTTGATTGTTTATTTGATCCTAATACTTGGTCTTTATTTCCTGTATGTAAGACAGACTATGTTACTGAAAAAATTACAATATCTGATGATGCTTATAGAAAATAATATAGATCAAGTGTAGAAAACGATGTTTTTTTTATTGATTAGAATTTCAATTTATAATTAATTGAAGGTGCATCTAATTATTGTAATACAGATGATGAATTACCTAATTGTTTTGAATTTGACAATTTAAAACATTTATAGAATAGAGTATATCTAATTTGTAAAGAGAATCATTATTTTAATAATAATCAATGTATTTTATTAGATACTAATTGTAAACTAACAGAATATAAGGAAGCCAAATGTTTAGAATGTATATAAGGATATTACTTATTAAATGATAAATGTTTATAATGTTCATTTAGATGTTCATCTTGTAATTCATTAAATTGTTTATCTTGTCCATCTGGATATGAACCAGTTGGTAGAGAGTGTTAAAGTTGTGGTAATTATTGTTCAAATTGTATTCTTTAAATGAATTTGTATACTCTTTAACCATATATGAAATGTTTAAAATGTGTAAATGATTAGAAATATTTTTTATCTTTGAATGGAGTTGATTGTGTATTAAATACAATAACTAATTGTATATATGCATTTTAAGTAGCTTCAGAAGATAGTAAATTAACTACTTTGGATCATTCATTTACACCTTACACTGGATTAATAATTACTAAATGTGCAAAATGTAAAGAACCTTATTCATTTAATGAGTAAACATTAAGTTGTGTTATGAGAAAATAAACTTCATGTTCTTACAATTATCGTTTACTAAGTAGTGATAATGATATTTGTCTTTTTGGACCTACAACATCAATTATTGATCCTGTTTCATTTACTACTGGATGTATTGCACTTAATCAAAATTGTTATACTTGTATTAAAGGTTAAGTGAATACAAAAGTATCATACTTATGTTTGATTTGTAATAATGGTTATTATTCAGAAAAGATGACAGGACAATGTCAACCATGTCCTAGTAATCTTCATTGTTTATCTTGTTATTAATAAAATAAGAAATCTAAAGATAATTGGAAAACTGATATTAGACCTTATTATAGATAAGCAATTGATGATAATTTACAATCACATTCTTTTATTGATTATGGCACTTCTTAAAATATTGAAGATTATGAAGTTGTCTGTAAATTTTGTTAATCAGGTTATGAATTATACAATAATCTATGTATTAAAGCTTGTCCTGATTCTTGTATTTCATGTATTAAAATAAATAATGAAAATATATGTGTTAAATGTCCAGATTTTATTAATGGTAGATTTTTATCTTTACATGAAAATGAATGTATTTAATGTCCAATTAGTTGTTCATTATGTCGTTAAAGAGATCAAGATGAAATTATTGTTATCAATCCTTTATTTAATAATTTAGATTTCAAATATTCATCTAATCAATGTTTAAAACAATTTCATGGTTACTTTGATTAATAATTAGGCATATTTATTGATTGTTAACATTCTGAATGCATAAGAAAATTATAAATCAATTTAAATTTATATTGTTCAATTTCTGATTATAATGATATACTTAATTAATAGATAACAGATAATGACATCAAAATATTCAAATAATCTAATATATTAATTAATGATTTATTTTCATAGAATAGTTTTGAATAAGTATTTAAATACAATATCATAGTTTGAAACAAATGAATTTTATAAACAAGCAAATGAAAAAGTCATTAAAATAATACTCATTAAAATTGTCAGTAATATACCTTAAACTTGTATTATAAATAACACCAAGAATATAAGATAAATTTTCAGTTAAAATATTTTCTCTGCTATGTAAATTTATTATTCTATTTAGAAATGTTGAACTTGAAATTCATGGTAATGGAATTACTACATTTAAATTTGATAAGGTTATATCATTTATCAATTTTAAAAGAGTTTATCTTAAAGATATAATAATTAATCCTTTTGAAATTAATAATTAAAAATAATTAATCTTTATTAGTGCTTTCATTTAATAAATTTAATTAAGTAATCTAATATATACTACAGATGTCTCTAACTAAAAATAATAAATCATTATCAAGAATTCAAATGAAGTATTAATTGAAAATTTTAAATTATCTAACATTGATATTAATAATTTAGAAGCCTTTATTATAATTGATCAAATACCTTAAAAATAATATATCAGAATATCTAATGTTGAATTAATTTCAAATTATATATAGAATCTAATTCTAATATTCTTGAATTTGAAATCAAATGATTCTGTAGAAATATCGAATATCAAAATTGATTCAAAATTTGAATAAGCTTCATTTTTAAAATAAGTATCTGGAAATTTGATTATGAATAATATCTAAATTTAGGACAGTCTAATATTAAATGTCAGCAGTCTTTTTAATTTGGGAACTTTGCTTCACATTGAAATTAATCAATTATAAATATTCAATTCTTTTTTAATTAATTCAACTATCTTGTATTTAAATGGATATTCATCATTAATAAATATAGAATTCAAGAATAATGAATTATCTATTGAATCAGTTGGAATAACAAATAAAAATGTTGAGGTCAAACTTTATACATTTAAAGATATTTCATTTACATTAAATTAATATGATTAAGGTTCAAACTTAATTAAAATCAAGGAAAGTTTTAGTCCAAATAAGATAATATTGATTAATAAAATAAATTTAATTGCTAATACATTAACATCAATTCCAAGTTAATAACTTTTAGAATAACAATTAACAACCCTAATATATCTCTAAATATAAAATGTGACTATTGATGATTTAACAATATAAAGAGCCTATAGTATAAGAGATATTACATTTGTTGATGTAATATATCTATATCTAAATAAAATTAATATTCAGTAACATGAACAATATAAATTCAAAGGTCTTCATTAATATGTGGATTGTTTCACAAAATCAATTTAAAGTATATACTTTATTACATCACTATATTTATATGATGTTTCTTAAATAGTAATCTATTAATTAACAATAGAAACAGCTGAATCTATTAATTATCCTATTATTAACATCTAAAGTTCTATTGCTGTTTCTTCAACCTAGAAATCGATACATTTAGAATAGGCAAACTTTATTAATAATTTGCTCATAATTAGTAATAAGATGAAATCAACTTCACTTTTTCAAATAAATTCAGAATAGGAATATCAAATAACCATTCTTGATTCATTTATGAAATAAAACTTAATGCATCAATATGAATAAAATGATCGAATATTTTCAGGTTTAATATTCAATTTCGATTGTCCTTACTGTAAAATTAAATTTATGAATCTCATAATCTAAGATAATCTTGTTACAAATACTACAGATAATGTAATATAAATTAAAGCTAAATCTATATCAATTGAAAAATCAATATTCCTTCAAAATTCAATATTTGAATATTCTATATTATAACCTTATCTATTGTGGGGATTCCATATAAATGAAGAAATCTTTATTGAATAAATATAATAAATATTCCCAATCAGAGTTGTTACTGGAAATATTAAATTGATTGGCTAAAATATTTATATAGAAAATCTAAATATCACTAATTCATCTGGACCAGCTCTTTACATTAAAATAGAAAGTGATGCAACATTACTCATAAAAAATGCTACATTTTCTCATATTAACACCCACTTTATTGATTCAGATGAGAATGGAGGAGCAATCTATATTGATTCATCATATGCAATTAGATCTAATATAATACTCTCAAATATTACAGCATTTAATATCTAATGTAGAAATTATGGTGGTTTAGTCTATCTATTCAATGGAGAGAGTTAAATTTAAATCAATCTAACCAATCTCAACATAGCTGATGTTTATGCTTTAAAAGGATCTATAATTTTTAGTGAATTTTCATCAACTTTTAGTTCAATTTAAGCATTTAAAATTTCACATTTGGTAATTGCCAATTAATTGTAAAATTAAATCTAATTCTTTTAAAAATTTAATAAACTTGATTCTTCTTCAATGCAAACATTAACTTTTTAAAGAAGTCTTCTATAAATATCTAATGCTTGGACAATAACATTAGAGTATCTGTAAATATCTTAATTAATTTATGAGTCATTAGGATTCTTTGACAATATTAAAAATACTCAAATAAAATAGATTTAGCTAACATAATGTCAATTAATGAATTCTTTAATTATAATCAATACAATTCTAACATAATCTTAAATTTACATACACTAATTAAAATTACATAATATAACTATTTTTGATAACATCCCTTTAACAACTTCTTCATTATTATGTACTAATTTAGAATCTTAAATTAAATAAGCATAATTTTAATGCTTAAATGAATTTTTCAACAAATAATCACCCATATAATTAAATTCTAATTATAACTAATAGTCCTCTTAATCATCATGTATAATATAGTAGTTAAAATAATTAGATAGAAAATAAAATGCTAGTTTAATTGATATCAAACTATATAATTCTAGTTTAAGCATTTCATAGGTTTCATTTTAGCATCTAAATTGCTCAAATGGATTATTATTTATTAACTTTTAACATAATGAAGGAAATCTCAAGATGTAAAATATAAACATATAAAATAATGTATGTGAATAATCAAGTTGTGTAAAAATTATTAAATTAAATTCTTCTAATCGTATACTTGAGAATTTGAATCAATACATTAATAAGAAATAATATGACTTCAAATTATAAGATTATATTTGTAGTTTTAATTATGGATATGAAGGTACTTGCCTTTATATTTCAAATATCAATACTTTAATTGTTTCTTCTATTTTTCAACATAATATAGCACATGAATCTGGTGGATCTATGATTGTAATTGGAAATTAATTGTTCATTTTAGCATATTGTACAATTTAAAATAACACAGCTTAATTTGGAGGAGGATTTGCAATTTCTGATTAAATGATTTAGAATTTAACAAAATTAGGATCTATTTTGACTGAAAATAATGCCATAAAATTTGGAGATAATCAAGCTTAATTACCATCTTCATTATCAATAACAATTGATTTGAAGAATATTTTACCAAAGATTAAGATTATTGAAACAAATAATCTATTGATAGAATAAATTGATATAAAACCTTATCAAGTATTTAGGAATACATATTCAGATGCTTTGTATGTACCAAATGGTTAGAAGATTTCAAAGTATGAATATTTTGATTGGAAAAAAGGAGAATATTATCTATATAATTTACATTTAAGAATTATAGCATTAGATCAGCAAAATGAAATTCAAGAGAATCTAAATGATACATATTGTGAAATTAATGGTAGATTACTAAAGGATAATGAAAATACAGTATTTAGTGATAATTTTACAAATTAAAAAAATGTAAGTTTTAATTCTACAGATTATAATTTAGATGATATCATATTTTATTTAGATGATGAACTCAATATGACTTTATAAATGTAATTTTATTGTAATTCAATCTATATTCCAATATATGGAGAACAATAAGAAATAATAAGTTATCATAATAACTATTTCTTAAGATTAAATATTAAGACATTACCATGCTAAATAGGTGAAATAAAGAAGAGTTCTGACTTAACATGTTAGCCATGTGATGCTGAATAAGGTTAATATTCAGTGAGTTTTAATTCTCAGAATTGTACTATTAAAGATGATTTATCAACAAAAGAAATCAAATCAGCTCAAATGAATCTTAGACCTGGATATTGGAGACCTTATTTTTATATTGATTAAATTAGTTAATGTATTAATTTACTAAGCAATTGTTTGGGAGGATGGAAAGAAGGAGATACATCATGTTTTATTGGACATATAGGTGCATTATGTGAAGAATGTGACATTTATAATTTACGTGGAGATGGTCACTTCTCAACAAGTACTAAATATTCTTGTAGTTCTTGTGCTGAAAAAGATACCAATTCAATAATTATAACAGCTATAAGCATTTGGTAATTAAAATTTAATTATTTTCAAGGACTTTGGTTTCAATTTTAATTTCAGTAAAGAGTACAGTCTCCTTACTTGAAGATATAGCATTAAAAGTATAAGTAAAAAAGATTAGATTCTTTATGTCAATGCAAGAATCTTATTCTGGAATTCTCATTAAGATGTTAACCAATCATCTTTAAATATTATCTACTATTACTAGTTTTAAATTGAATCTGCCTAGTGGATTTGCAAGTACAATCAATGCTTCTGGAAATCCTATTTAAACTATGACATATTCTCTTGACTGTTTTTTAATGGAAATGTTCTATTTCAACATCCATTATTCAAGAATGATTTGGTAGATGATTATGCCATTCATTTATATCTTTATTTTCTTTTTATTGTACTGTATTGCAATCAAATTAAAAAAGGTTATTTATAGTGTAAGTGTAATAACAACAACCTTCATTTATTTGTATATATATCTTCAACCAAATTTAGTAGGTGGCTTAATATCCTTAATATCCTTCAGAAATATATCTAATGTTAAGTGGATTTAAGCTAATGTAGCATATAGGTATGATACCTTATCTCATTTTCTGTGGCTTTTATCCTTTTGTCTACCAGGTTTAATAATTATAGCCTTTCTTATTCCATTTCTCTTTTTTTATGCTTTGTACATAAATAAAGAAAACCTTAATGATAAAAAAGTTAGACAATAATGGGGATATCTCTATAATGAATATAAAACTGATGTGTATTTTTGGGAAATTGTTAAAATTGTAGAAAAAGAATTATTAATTATTTTTCTCTCTTATTATGAGGAAACTATAGTAAAGAAAGGTATTCTTGTTCTATTGGTTGTTTATATCTATTTGGAACTCAATACAAAATTTAAACCATATCAATCTCCTAATTTGAATAGATTGGATGCTTATTCAGCTAATGTATGTGAAATCTCGATTGCCCTTGGTATAGGAATTTATGTTGATTAATTATATGGCTCTTTAGAAGTTTAAATACCCTACTTTATAATTTTGGCAACTCTCAACTTCTATTTCTTCTTACTTGTTTTCAAAGAAATATTACAATCATATAGCAGAGATTTAGAAATATAATTAGATAAGGTGCGTGATTTAGTGAGACAAAAAGCTCCTTGGACAATGTAATATCGATTCCTCAATAAAGAACTTTAAAATAGATAAGAAATAAGAGTCAGAGTTAAAACAAGATACCGAAAACTTAGAGAATATTTAATAGAACAAGCAAAACAAATTCTAGAATTCAAACANTCTCATTAAGATGTTAACCAATCATCTTTAAATATTATCTACTATTACTAGTTTTAAATTGAATCTGCCTAGTGGATTTGCAAGTACAATCAATGCTTCTGGAAATCCTATTTAAACTATGACATATTCTCTTGACTGTTTTTTAATGGAAATGTTCTATTTCAACATCCATTATTCAAGAATGATTTGGTAGATGATTATGCCATTCATTTATATCTTTATTTTCTTTTTATTGTACTGTATTGCAATCAAATTAAAAAAGGTTATTTATAGTGTAAGTGTAATAACAACAACCTTCATTTATTTGTATATATATCTTCAACCAAATTTAGTAGGTGGCTTAATATCCTTAATATCCTTCAGAAATATATCTAATGTTAAGTGGATTTAAGCTAATGTAGCATATAGGTATGATACCTTATCTCATTTTCTGTGGCTTTTATCCTTTTGTCTACCAGGTTTAATAATTATAGCCTTTCTTATTCCATTTCTCTTTTTTTATGCTTTGTACATAAATAAAGAAAACCTTAATGATAAAAAAGTTAGACAATAATGGGGATATCTCTATAATGAATATAAAACTGATGTGTATTTTTGGGAAATTGTTAAAATTGTAGAAAAAGAATTATTAATTATTTTTCTCTCTTATTATGAGGAAACTATAGTAAAGAAAGGTATTCTTGTTCTATTGGTTGTTTATATCTATTTGGAACTCAATACAAAATTTAAACCATATCAATCTCCTAATTTGAATAGATTGGATGCTTATTCAGCTAATGTATGTGAAATCTCGATTGCCCTTGGTATAGGAATTTATGTTGATTAATTATATGGCTCTTTAGAAGTTTAAATACCCTACTTTATAATTTTGGCAACTCTCAACTTCTATTTCTTCTTACTTGTTTTCAAAGAAATATTACAATCATATAGCAGAGATTTAGAAATATAATTAGATAAGGTGCGTGATTTAGTGAGACAAAAAGCTCCTTGGACAATGTAATATCGATTCCTCAATAAAGAACTTTAAAATAGATAAGAAATAAGAGTCAGAGTTAAAACAAGATACCGAAAACTTAGAGAATATTTAATAGAACAAGCAAAACAAATTCTAGAATTCAAACAGTATATTTAAGGAACTAAAACATATAAAAGTGCCAAAGTATATCCTGAATAATTTAGCGAATGTTCTTAACCAGAGTAATTATATATAATCTATATCTAGGGAAATACATAAAGAGCAAAATGAGATCATTCAAGCTAAACAGAGTTAATCTGATTTATAAGAATGTTTTGTTTGAATAACAATTTAAATATACATAGAATTTATTTTTAATCACAATATTTCTAATTTTTTAATATGGATAATATGTAGATAATAAAAAAAATCTAATTAAGCTTTGTTCTAAATCAACTTAGTATAAATATTAATCTTTTAGAACAAAATTTGCTGGATTTTATTTTTATATTTTCTAATACTTATCTATTTATTAGAAATACTTATCTATATTAATCAGCTCAGGGGTAGTAGCTCATTTAGTAGAGCGCGTGATTTGCATTCACGAGGCGCCGAGAGCGAAGCTCGGCTACTCCAATTTTTTTCTTTTTTTATATTTATTCAAATTTTTATTGAGTTTAATTTTTTAATATAATAATTAATTATAAAATCCTGAAAATAAATTATGACTTTAAAAATTTGTAATATGCTAATTAGGATTATATCATGAATAGATTTAATTAATTGAATAATTCTGCCTTCTATTTTATTTCTGTTTATGATTACTTATAATAAAACTTTGAATTTCATTAAATGACTGCAACAATATTTTTCTAATCTCATCTATTAAATTTTATTTATCTAATAAGAACACATATGATAAATTTAGAATATTAGAATGTATAATTTACAAAACTATATAGTAAAGATAATATTTATCATTAATAATTTTTGCTTCATAAAATTAAGCGTTTTATATTCATTTTTACTCATATTATTAACATAGCATTAAACTTTTTTATAATTATTCAGAAATTTAATATAATATAAATTAATGATTTTTAAATGTTATTTAATATAAATTCTTACATTTGAACATTAATATATAACAAAATTTAGAAAAGGATTTAGAGAAATAAACTTGGAGTAAATTATTAATCTGAATTGCCTAATCACAAAAGTAGAAAAAGCTCATCAAGTTTTATTTCAATAAAAAAACAAATTAACCAATAAAATAGTAATGAAGTCTTAAAAAAGGAATAAATCAAAAAAGAAGGTGAATATTTTGATAATGATAGAGCCTTTGCAATTTTTTAATGCTGATTTAGTTACTTATAAAATAATTGAAAATCACTTTATTAAAAATATTAGAGAAAAAAAGGAAAATATTATTTCTAAATCACCTAAATAGTTAAATTTTATGATTATTTTTCTATTTATTATTTTTTCTCATTCATAAAGTTTGGTTAAAAAATAATTTAGTAAGATGTGAGATTTTATTTTTTAATCCTACATATGATAATAAATTTGTTTTATATAAATTTGAATGAAATAAAATAATTATTTTAGTCAATTTTTAGATAATCCAATTTATAATTATTTGAGAGTAATTATATTTTGCAACAAGAATTGATGATTAAAATAATTCTAAAGTAAAGATGAGATTAGAATTTAAAGAACTATTTTACATTTTCTTGATTAAATTAGATATTAAAGGTAATACAAATTAGTAATCTTTAGAAAAACAGATGAATGCTTATAATACAGGAATTGAGGATTTTTTTTAGCCTAATATTGATTAAATAAAATCTTCAATTTTGTGAAGATTATTCTCCAATATATAATATATCAATCTATTTTGATTTAGATTCAACAATTTGTTTTGTAGGTTCAAATTTTTTGAATTTTATTATTTTTCTTATTTTCATTTGTGTTTATATATGAAAAGTGAATTCAAAGCATGAAATGGTAAATAAAAATTAATTATAACGTACAACTCAAAAATATAATATTTATTAATTGTCATATTATATTATATTAACAACAATAAAATAATAATCTTTTTTTTGATATAGACTAAAACTTTATCTATTAATATATTTAAACAATTAATCATAAAGATTATGTTAAATCTAATTTATTTAGATGTAAAAAATAGAAATATTTAGCAAATAATGATAGATTTGAAGAATTTTGATTTTAATGATCATTATTCATAATTTTATTTTAATATTAATTTTTGATTTATTTAATTGTCTACTATAATCCTATGTAATTTTAATTAAATTAATAGTATTATTATTAGAGATAATTAATCTATAAACTAATTTAAAAGAATGATTATAAGATTTAACAGATCAAAGGCTTTATAATAATTTAATAATATGACTAAAAATAGTATTTTTAATTCAATAATCATTTTAAAACAAAATGACTGGGGTAAAGATGTAAAATAGACACTTCCATTTTCTTCTACTTATAACTATGTTAAGATTTAATTAAATTTTAGAGACTCAATTTCCAAAGGTGTTTCTATAATTTAATAGGTGAGATCTTTTTTCCAGATGAGATACCATTTTTGTAATCAACTTAAATAATTGAGTATTTTGAAATTAAGTCATCTGAATTGCTAGCAGTAGTTTTACAAATATAATTATCATTTCTATCAGAAATAATTGTATTGCTCTTATATTAGTGCTATTTAACTTTAGGGAGTTATTCACTAAGATTTGATTGATTGTATAATCTTCTATCTTTTCTCTGTTTATTCTCTTGTATAATTTATTTAGGCAGATTAGGATTTTCTTTAAATTAATCAATTATAGTCTTTTCTTTTAATGATAACATCTCTTGATGTTCAAGTCTAAGTGAGGAAACAATATAAGGTTAATGTTCTGATAATCTCAAAGTTGAATATTTCATTTATACAATGAAATAGAAATTTATTATATTACTTTTATATATTATTAACTAAACTACTTATTCTTTAGTATTGCTAGATTATATTAGAGAATAAATAACTTTGAAAATATACCTTGTTAATAAATTAAAATATATAAAGAATAAAAAGATTTTGGATTGTTCTGAGAATAAACATTAATATTATAATTAATATATAAGATAGATTTGAAGATTAATATTGTAATCATTCATTTCGTATTTGAAATGATTTAGTCTTTTGATGTGCTATTCTTCTTAGAGGTTTTTTAGTTTCAGAGATTTCTTATTTATCTTAATTACCAGTTTCTATATTTATCACAATTAAAGATTTCTTAAATTCCACTTTTTTCCTTTCAAATTTTGATACTGATGACAATATTTTTGAATCTTATCTTTTCAAAAATAGTTTGGTTCGTTTATGAGACCTTTCAAATGCAACAGGAGTAGCATTTCTTGATTCTTGAGGAAGAATTGGAATTTCAGGTAAGGATCTCTAGTATCTCTTGGGCTTGGTTGTGACTAATTTAGGTAATTTAAAATGATAAGGAATTTCAATAAGTGGATCACTTTCAGATTAGGTATAAATTTTATTTCCAGTATTTCCATCTGTTACTTCTCCCTCTGTTTTCAGGGAATAAGGAAGGGTCTCAATTTAATTTAAAAAGAGAGATGGTCTCATGGTTCTTGTAGTATTTTGTTTTATTGGTGAAACAATTTTTTCATTAATAGCAGGTAGATGAATTCTAGTGGAAGTTGGATTAGACATAAAGGATCAATTGTTATTATATTAAATGATTTTAGAAATTATTTATTTAATTAATATATTGAAACTAATTAAACTGTCATCATCTGTAAATTACTTAATATATTATTACCTTGTACTACATTAATTTTTAATAAATAAAGAATTTAAATAAACCTTAAGGATAAATTCAGTAACTCACTGAAGGTTGTATATGAAAACGATTTCAGGATCACCTCTATTTCCTGTTTATATAGTAGAATTAGAATACTTTGCATAATTAGATAAAATTGTTAAAAATTAATAATAATAACCTATCTGAAATAACATATGATAAAAGAAAGAAATATATCTAATAAAGTGAAGAAGCTAATATAAATAATAACAAGTCATTTTTGAAATTTATAAAACAGTTGAAATTTTTATTAAGACTTTGTAAATTTATGACAAGATAAAGGTAAGATCAATATTTATAATAATGATATAATTGAAAATCGTATTGAAGAGATAAATAAAGATAATATAGATGTATTAGTAAAAGGATAAGGAAGGCAAATATAATAAGAATTAGAAGAGGAAAGGTCAAATTAAGAACAAGTTGAAAATGAGGATGATTTCAAAGTTGAACAATTTAGAATATGAGATTGAGATTCAAAATGATGATGAATAGAATTAAACAAGAAAATAAAAATAAAATAATTATTAACAAAAATATAATCAGCCATTAAATTTTAATAATAAGTTTATCCATAATGAAAAGAAATAAATTAAGTTTTTGCTACTTTTATTTATTAATTAAAGGGTGCTTCAAAATTTTAATTCCTAAAAGTTTTCTAAAAATGATAAATCAAAATAAAAAGATAAATTATAAGTAAATTAAATGAAAGCAATAATTCACTCATTTATAATGGTAGATGGAGATATTAAAAATGATAGAATAATCTTACATAATAGATTTAACTAAATAAATTTTATTCATAAAGAAATTATAATTATAAAATCATTCATATAGGATAATAATAAATTTTAATACATCTATTTTTGGTTTAAATATAATAAGAATTAAACATTTATCATCTTATTGAATTCAATTATATTTTTATACAAAATTACATCAATTTTAAAAGTTCTTGGAGTATTATGTTACTTTGAAGTCTTAATCATAATATAGATTAAGATTAACACTATTATAAAAAAATGATACTCTATAGAAAAAGATGATTTTTATTTTAAATAAGAAAGACAGAATTAAAAAATGTAATTGATAAATAAATAGATATGTTTGAATATATATAAAAACATTTAAAAGAAAAAGGGTAATTTTATAAGATTCTTGATGTGTTTTATGAAATTTAATTAAAATAAAAATAAATTATTTCTGGCATGCAATCATCTCATCCAGCAGGAGCATAATTATAATAATAATTAGAAATATTGCAAAAAGGATTTGAATAACTTGTTTAAAGAGTTCCAGAAACTATTCATTTATCTTGTTTATCTTAAAATAGCAAAGATGTTAATAGATATACAGATTGTAATTTGTTAAATTAATAATTAAAGGCATGATGAAAAGAAGTAAAAGAGTAGATAAAGAAATGAGATAATTTGATTTCAAGATGATATTTATGGGCAATCAATTTGAAAAGTGCATTTAATCAGGTGATACTGATAAATGTGTAGAATCAGCAAAAATAGATGTATAGAGATATATAAATGAATTCCAAAAAAATATAAATTGATAAAATTATATATTTAATGAATTTAAATGATTCTCAAATATTAGAGTATCAATAAATACAAAACAAATATAAAAGAAAGATTCTCAAATACTGTTGGTCCTCTTAATCAAATAGAGAACAATTTATTGAATGCATGCTTAAGTAGTATTAGCTATAATCATAGAAAAAATGAACTATTTAATATTTAATAAGAATTATTTCAACATAAATTACACTATGTAATAGATTATACAAACAATTAATGTCTTAAAAGTATCAAAAGCAAATTTGATGAATAGATGTGTTTTTAAAATGCAAGAGATTAGATTACAATTTTTTAAGAATTATTTTAACATACTCTATAGAAAGAATTATTGTGAATGTATTATAAAATAATTATTAATTATGGCTGATTAGAAATAGTAATTGTTTCTAAAATAATTAACTGTCAATATGTAATCTCTTTAAAGATACATTCAAAAAGAAACTAATGAATAAAGAGAGAAATGCTATCAAATTTATTTATAATCAAATGAAAATTATGATGAATATTACAAATGTATTTGATATTCTAATATGAAAAGGTATTCAGTAATTACAAACTAAGAGAAAAACAGTAGATCGTAATTATGAATCAATGGTTAAATATTGGCCATTTTGGACTTAAACTTGTTTTGAGAAGTCAGAAACAAATGATTAAATTTTGAATTGTTAGAAACATACAACAGAATCTTTAACCAATTTTTTATAGAATTCAATCTATTAGTTATAAATTTGAACATTTTAATATATCAATACAGTATCAATTTTTATAATATAATTCCCACTTATTTTATAAACATAATTCTAAATTTATTATCAAATTAATTTTGTAGTTTTATATGATATAATTATTATAATAAACTTATATGATATGAATATCTATTTAAGTTTAAAAATATTAAAGTTAAATTTAAATTGATACTATTTTTGGGAATAATAAAAATATTAAAACTATTTATGGGAAATAATTTATGTTACTCAAAAATAGAGTAAGAATCAAACTTAACATAAATAATTTGTTTATACAAATTAAATGAATGCAATATATATCTAACCATTGGAAAAATAGAAAATGAATCTGTTGATTGTTTAGTATAGGAAGAAGATTAATTTAAAAAATTTCCAGTTTAATATAAATAAGAAACAAATGACAAAGATTGCACTTTCATTAAATCTACTAATAGTATTTCATTGTATTTAAACTATAGAAAATTCAAAAAGTTATATTTTTGTTCTTTTAAAAAACAAATTAAATGGAAATGGCTAAAATCATAATGATGGAGAAAAGTAAAAATTATATGAGATAATTTAAGATGCTCTAAAAATAGTAAATATATAATATAAATATAGGCTGATGAAAGTTTAATGAAATCTATAGCATTTCCAGTATTTTTAATAAAAGATTATACAACTTCAGCAACTATAATGCTTATGGCAATAAAAATATTCATTGTAGAATAAATCTGTTAAAGACTGACTAAAATTTATATAATTTTAAATGTAAGTAAATTTATAATATAAATACTTTAGTCTGTAGAATAAGTCTCAAGTTTCAGATGGGTATTTTAATAAGTTTTCGACATAAGAAAATCATAAAATACTTATGAAAGTTCAATAAATTAGGATTGGGAATTGAAAACCACTCAATTACTAAACTAAAATATATAAATAGTGAAAAGTAGTATTCCTTGAAATAATGATATGTTTTATATATTTATTTAAAACTGCTTTAATTTATTTCTCTATGAGAATGCATAAATGAATTTATTAATTTTATATAATTCAATAACATTCCTACTTATTTTGAAATGCTTATAAGTAAACTACCTTTGTTAGATTAAACAACATCATAGAAAATACTGTTCAATAAAACAAAAATAACTTATGAAAACTCAAATTGTATAGGTTTAGAGAAAGCTTATAGATAGACAAATGCACTTAAACCTAAAAGATAGTTAAGTATTATGAAACAATCAAATGATGGTAAAAAATAGATAACAACCTAAAATGATGAATCAATTTCAAAAAGAATTCATGTAGTAAAGTCATAATCTGAATGTCAGATAATTGAGAAAATACAATAGGAATTCGAACAAAAGTATTAGGAACAAGTATATAGAGATTATAGTTATTTAGGTTAGGATTTCAGAGGATTTAAAACTAGAAAATGTTAAATTAAAAATGCAGTTAGAGGAGTAGGAATAGTAAATAATTTATCTAAAATTGATAAATAATGATTTACGATACTAGATAGATAATTCTACTTTAGCATAATAATTAAAGAAATTAGATTTAGAATATAAGGATACATATAGAAGAATGGATGATACTCTAAGAAAAGCAATTGATGAAAATTATGAAAGCTAAATAAAAATGAAAAATCTATCAATAAAATCTTAGTAATTAGAATAATTTACAGTAATTTATATATTAATTAGATAGTTTTCTTTGAGACAGCAACTTACTTGCAAATTCTGTAGAAAAGAATTGTAAAATACAATTACTGTGATTCCATGTGCACATAATTATTGTTAGAAATGTGTTTCTGGATATATTGGTAGATGTTTTGCTTGTAATGATGATGTAACTATTGTATATATTGAATTAGAGTCTGGTTTAAGCTACTTATCATAATGAATACATTAGCGATTTAATAAATATGTATAAAATATTTGAGAATATTATGAATATATTAAAAACTTGATTATAATTTATATAAAGTGATTGTTAAGGTACTATAAGATATTAAAATTTATTGATTAAATATAAATATAATTAATAGTCAGAGGTTGAGTAAACCTTAGTAGTATTCATTATAGACATCATGTAATTATGATTCAATTCTTTGATGACATCTTTCATATTCTCGATCATTAGTATTTCCTTTATAACATTCAAGAGCTTGTTTTTCAATAAATAGCATCTTGATTGAGAGGTATTTTGCAAAGTTGTCAATTTTACCTTCATGTCTTTCCATACCTAAATATGATGAATAGGAAATATACATGTGGCAAATAGTTCAAAGGTTTTTGAATTTCTGAGACAAATTTCTTTCTATTTTTCAGCCAACTCTTATTGTTTGAGCATTTAATCAATAGAGATTGAACTGTCTTCTTTAAAATTTTTGAAGTCATTTTCATATTACTATTTTCTTTACATTTCTTTTTGTGTATTTAATATTGATTTATAGAGATAAGATATTGGTTGGTTTTGAATTATGATAATTCATCATTACAGTATATTAATTTCAAATTTGGATGATTCATTATGTAATAACATAGATCGTCATTTTATTAAAATTATTTATTTATTTTATATTTATATGATGTAATATATATAAATGATTTAAGTAAGTTAATTAAGCAATTGGGAAGTAAATATCAGAGATAAAATGATAAAGTAAATAGATAATAATATATAAATATATAATAATAAAGTATATAGATTATAATATATAAATAATATATTGTTAGTAATCAACGACAACTTTCTGAATGATGCTCTTATAAATCCATGGAAAGTTCATCAAAGGTTCTAATAGAAATAAAATATCCATCAGTAGATGTATCTATAGAGGGAATGTCTACGCGTGTATGAAAGACATATTTAAATTCTTCAGGATAATGTTACTCTAAGATTTCTTTGGTTGTTGAAGATACCTAAAGTTTACCACTTTCTCCTTTAGATTCCATTTTATTAGCAATTAAAACATCTGGTCCATATATATCATACCTAACAATTTCAGTACCCAATACTCCTCCTATAATATTACCTGTATGGATTCCAATACGCATGTCTAATCCTTAGAAATTAATATGGTCTCTAACTCTCTTAATAATACTAATCATTTCAAATCCCAATTCTACAGTATTTTTAGCTTCTTATGCTATATTTCTATCTTTAGCATCTAACATTCCCATAACAACATAACAATCTCCAATTGTATATAATTTATAGACTGATTTCTCTTAGCAACACTTATCAAATTCAGTGAAAAGATTGCGCAACATAAACACAACCTACTCTGGAGAGACTTTACTTGAATATTCAGTAAAACCAGCAATATCAGCAAATAATAGAGTAACATTTTCATAACTATCTTTAAGAACAGCTCTTTATTATTAAAATTTAAGAAATTATTCAAGCATATGACTTGGTAATTGATGTTTAACCAAAGAATCTAATTATTAATGTTTAGCTTTGAGTTTACATTTATTGTTATATAAATGTACATTTTTATTGAATTTATAAATTTGATTAGAGATAAAGATTAATTATAAGATGATAGCATAATAAATAAGACTCTTTTCCCAATTTTTAACAAGAACTACAATTAGATTGACTGTAATCATCGAGATACTTTCAATAACTTTATATTTCATCTTAATAATAGGATTCAATTAAGTCATAAATGATAAAAATACTCCAACAGCAATACAGATTTCACCAACAATGAAACTCTAATAAGAGAATATATGAATTATCCACCATATCATAGTAATAATATAACTATAGATAAAGTATATCTCTTTGAAATATTTCTCTCTATATTATTTCATAATCAATAACACTAAGAATATAATCTTGATTGCTACAATTACATATCCAAATGATAGATTTATATACCATGTATATTAATTTTCAAATATCTAAGCAATTAAAATAGTTGATGTATTTTAAACCAATAATAGTATTGTCACTCCTGCCTTTAATAAAATGACTAATACAGTATTCTTTTTTGTTAATTCTTTATAAAAATCATTTATATGACATTAATCAACTTCTGGATCAAAATCTAAAAAGAGTTTTCTTTTGTCTAATATTAAAACATCTGTTTCTATGAATTCATCATCACTCTAATATAATTATTTTAATTTCTCTTTTTCTATTTCACTATTAGGAAAATCAAAATTCTCATCTACTAATAAATTCTCTTTTCCCAATTTAATCTCTATTGCTTCAATTAAATTAGCTCCTTCAACACTCATTTTATATCCAATCTAATTTGCATGATCACTATCTCCATGAGAATTCTATTATTATTGTGCATCAACATTAAGACTTGATTTATGTTATAATTTTGGATTACTCTATTTCAAATGAGGTAATACAAGAGTAGGCTTTCTCTTTATTTTCTAATTTCTACCTTATCTCTCTTGATTATTAGAGGCATTCACTGAATTCTGTTAACCATTTTTACTTTTACCTTCCTTTACACATTATTTTTTATGTCTTAATGCTTTTCTTTGCTCTTATTCAGATAGTATATATGTTACTAAAACTCCTTTGCCCTTTGCATCTACCAAATCTTTAGTAAATACAAAATCTTAAGATCCACTAACTAATTTATATGCATCATTTGAAATCTTAATTTAACCATCTTATCCAGTTGAACATACTCTACTTGTAGTATTTACTGTATCACCTATTAATGAGAATTAAGGTTTATGATAACCAATCACACCAGCAATCACATTCCCATAATGAACACCAATTTTTACAATTATTTCTCCAGCTCCACTAAAATCTTATTATGATGCAAATTTCCTCATTTCAAATGCAACTTAAATTACTCTAAGTACTGGATTTGCACTATTTTAAGACACTATATTCTTTAATCCTGCAGCTGCCATATATGTTTTACCAACTGTTTCTATTTTCTATAATCCATATTGACTACATAATGAATCATATTATCTGAATAATATATCTAACAAATGTATCACATTCTCTTTTTCTGCCTTTATTATTTTATCAAATTAACAAATATCACAAAATAATATTGCCACTTCTCCTTGATTCTCTTATATATCAAATTCTCCTTTTTAATTAATTATATTTCTAATAAACTTTGGCATCAAAATACTTAAAGTATCACTAATTGAATTAGTTTATTAATCCAAAGTCAACATTTAAATGAATTCTTCTCTTGAATTTCTCTGTATTCTAAAATGCATTCCACTTGATAATGCTGTTTACATCATTGCAATTAAATAGTAATTCAACATTATATATTTATTAAAATTAGCATCACTTGTTGTGTTATTAGCACTGAATCTTATTATAAAACTGATATTTAAAGTTAAACAATAGAATATGATTGTCAAAGGTCTATCATCTATCAATGGTTATAACATAAATAACTACATTATTAACATATCTGTTAATTCATTATCATTATCCTAATAAAAATAAACATCATAAACTATTTTATATATCAATCTACTTGTTATTAAAATCTTACTAATTCTGAAATGATATTTCTAAAATGCTACAGTGTATATAAATAAAGCCATAAGAACCTATGCTGCATTATATCCAAATGTAAAATATAAAAACCAAGTATAATCTACATCTCTATTGATCAACCAAATTTAAACTAAGATTGCTCCTTCTACTAACATCCAACTAAGTGGATAATATAATCTATAATATTCTATAATAGATGGTAATTCATTCAGTTAATACTTAATTTCTAATTAAATATTTTTGAAGGTTTAAGTAATCTTATTTATTTTGGTTGTCTTTACACTCAATACTATCCCTGATAATATTTACTTTATTATTGGATCTATTTCTTCTTCAGTCTTAAACAATTTCAATATATATTTCTATATATTTATCACCAAATTATCTTTTCTTCTTTTTTGATTATGTATCTAAATTGGTTTAATCTTATTATTGATTTCCATCTAATCTTCCTCTTTATACAATGTATTATGAACATATATTGAATGAAATTGTGTTAAGGTCTTCTAAAAACAAAAAAACAATAGTTGTAATGATAATATAAATAAGAATGATTCTAATGAAATTATATATTAGAATAGATCAAACATATTATATGCAAAGTAATCCAAATAACCAATAGTACAGAAAGCAAAATAAGAAATAGGCAATATTATATATTAATATAAATTAGCATGTGTTAACTATTTTGTTAAATCTAATAACAATATGATAACAAACATTTGGATTGATTTCATTTCTTCATCAAATATTCTTCCATTGTTGTTTCTAATATCCATAATACTTATCATTATAGATATAATAAAGGCTTCAGATGCTGAATAGAGTATTACCTTATAAAAAAATAACCAATATCTCATCTATCTAAAATCTAATTGATTTTGATTAAAAAAATAGACTAATTAATTTTTTATATTGGTCACTTTCTCTTCCTTCGGTGTCATCCTTTAAATATATAATAATAGACATGGAATGATATATAAAAAACTTTGAAAGTAATCTAAAGGTGGATAATATGTAATTCCTTAAAATAAAATCTAAAAAAATAGTGTAAAACAGAGTAAATAACTTCTATAAAATGAGAATGTGATAATATTCTCTAATAATTCTGCTGATTGTCTACTTTCAGATAATACTATGGATATTAAATTTGGATAATCTTTAACAACAATATCTGTAGTACCAACATAAGGTATATTATTATACTAATACTCTATTTTAACTGGAATACTTACTTTTGAAATCCTTTATTGCAGGCTTAAATGTAATCTAATGAAGTCTTATACTTTTTGAATCTTTTTTGGTTCTTTACAATTGTTCCATCTTTTCAACAGCAACCTATTAATAAAGTCTTTGACTCTATAATTAAACAGCAAAATCAGAATATGCCATCAATCTACTATCATTAGCATCATCTCCAATTACTAAGACTCTTCTTCTCCAAACTTATTTTTCTTAAAGTATTTTAACTAATATTGCTTTTTGAGTTTTAGTCATCCTATAACCTACAACAGAAGTAGAAAATGCAATAATAAAACATAAATGATTAAACAATGAATTATCTTATGATATTTTATCCAAAGTTTCTCCATGAATTAAAATAGAGAATGGTTTAATTCTTTATTAGGAATTTTAGAATCCAGGTAATAATCCTTTAGCACTTTATCTTCTACCACTTGTATGAATAGATTTACGTTTCTGACTAGGACTCATTACTATTCTATCAGATTATCTTTTTTCTACAAGAACTGAATCATCCTTCAAATGTTTAATCTGATTATTATATAACCATTAAATTTATTATTTAATCTATAGACTAGCATCTTATTAATCAAAATGGATTATAGGAATCAAATCTTTCAAAATTTCAGTCTTATAAGCAATAGGTAATACTTTATCTAATGAATCGCCACTAGCAATCCAAATAATCATTTCTGCAGCCAAGAAATTTTTAATTACTGTAATAATAGATTTTCTTAATTTCTCTTTGATTCCAATAACCAAACTCAATTCATAGGCTCTTGGTTATGTTTTCAATTCTTATAATGGATTTTTAATAAATTATGAATATTATATAGTATCCATAAATGACTTAAAGAATACAACTGGTCTACATCCATTCATATATAATTTATAGATCATATTATCCCATTTTTCTCTTTCTTCTTTATTCATTAATATCTAATCACTCATTTCTTAACTATCATCTCTTATAAATTAAACATAATCATATGTTTAATCTATATCTTCAAAGAATCTTCTGTAATCTTATTTTGTTAGTATCACACTTACTTTATAATGTTCTAATTAAGTTACAATAACAGGTATTTCAGTCAATCTACCATTTATTTCCACAATATATTTACTTTTATTAACTGCTGAACATACAAATCTATAATTGAAATGAGAAATGAATTCTAATTATAGATTATCTATTTTTGATGAAAATTCATGTTTAAATGTATCTTCAGATTTATTATATGTTGATTAAGTATTATGACATATCATTAATATAAAGATAGCTTCTTCAGTTTATTTTCTACTTTCATTTGTAATCAATTTATTAAGAAAATCTTTTTCATCCAAACTTCTTAAATCATCATTATTCTTATTTAAACCTTCTTCTGACATAAATTTTGTAAAATTCATTGATCTTTCTGCTCCAAATCTTTTTTATTTATCAGATCTATCTATTTTAATACTATGTTTAGCTCTAATAGTTATACCAGAAATCAAAGTAGATTTCTTCATCTCTTTTGGACTTTATTATTATTGATTACTATTTAAAGATTATTATTAATTATTTAATAATTATTATTAATTATTAATATTATTATTACTACTTTATTATTATATACTATTAATATTAATATTACTATTTTATTATTATTATTATAAATATTATTAGACACCACTTCCTTATCCATTATTATTTATATCTGTATTTGAACCCCATGAATCTTAAAACATTTTAGGTTGTTTACTTCTATGTATATCTCTTAATTTAAAATTATCATCTATTATTTCTTCAGGATCAAAATTAGCTTAATCATTATTATTAGTATCACAATTTTCTTAATTAGATGGTATTTATAATTCCTCTTATTAAACAGGTCTAATTGATGGATGTTTAGATGCACGTTTCATTTATTTAGGTTTTGGTGATATTCTTACTTATGATGCTTCCTTTTAATTAGATTAAGATTCTTTCATTAAAAATTATTAGATCTCTTAATTATCTTATTATTATTATTGATAAGTTTTCCATTCATATAAATCATCAAATGTTTTATTTTTAATGGAAAACAATTGATCATTAAAATTAATCATCTTCAATTTAAAAGATGGAATTGTCATTGTACCTGTTTTATCAAATATTACACTATCTATTAAACTAAGATCAGCTAAAGGTGAATCATTAATTCTTTAATAATTAGATGATAATTGTAAAGTAGTATTATTAGTAGTCTTTGTAGTAGGTTAAATTACCTGTTTTTGAAATTAATACTATTTAAATATCATTGTACATAAGGTCATAAAATCAAACATAAAGTGTAAATAATAAGGGATCATATTAAGATATCCCAAAAGATACTTACACAAAGTCTAAAGAGTCCATTATCTACCATAAGACATAAATCTTAATGATTCTGTCATCCAAGAGGCAAAAGACAATACAATCAAAAGAATAAGGGTGAATTAAAAGAATCTATCAACTTTTGTATAAAAGAAAGAATGATTCACTCTAGTCTTAGGTTAATTGTAATAGTAACGACAACTTAATCCAGCATATAAAACTAATCCATATATGTAATCACAATTCAATAAGAGTTATTCTCTAAAGATTATATTCTCTTTTTTAATATCTATAGCTTAAGGATCATTTTTGAGTCTTACAAAACCTGAATATAAAGATTTATCATTGGTATTTCTATCATAATTGACTTTACCACTTAATAAAAGTCTATATTCAAAAGAATTATTTTTAAATTGATGCATTCTAGACATACTAGTTAAGATATTTGGTTATTTATATATCTAATTAGTATTTCCAGTAAAGTTTGCAACATCAACATTAAAATGATCTGAATTTGATTCTAAAATCAATAAATCAGCAGGACATAATTCATTTCTTTATAATACAACTATATCACCAACTTCTACTTCATCCCAACAAACAGTTTCAAATATTTACACCTTTTATTCTGGTCTTGGTGTTGATTAAACTTTCTTTTCTTCTCTGAATGATGAAATTATCATTGGTTTATATATATCTTATTTACGTGGAGCTGAAAAGAGAATGATATCATTGTTATTATGATGTTTTATATCTTCATGTATTTGAGTCTTATTTGTTGAGTTAATTCTCTTTAACCTTTTAAATATAGTCACTTATCTTTTATTGATTTATTTGTCTTATTGATGTTTGATCATTGAATAATATAACATCTTTATTAAGTACATGGCTATACCCACCAATAAAGGAATGACAAATTGATAGAATAGTGAAAAGTCTTCGCCCTTTAAATCAATTATCGATAAACAAACTATATTGATTATGATGAATATCCAGTTCCCTGGACGGTTTGCATACTCTCCCAATATTTGTGAGTAAGAGAGATATGAATGAATTCCATTATGTAATTCAGCAGATGCTATTCCTTTCAAATTCACAGATTCTCCCATCTCGAATTCTATCTACACTATCATATAGCTTTTCTACCTGCCTTGAATAGAGCTCTTCCGATCTTCGTATCATCTTGGTCACATATTTCTTATTAATGTACTCGTATAGAGCCAAAGCAACTTTTTACATTTAATAATAATAACTTAAATATTTTTCATTGATATTTTCACATTTTTAACTTCCATCATTAACATATTCATTATATTTTATCCATAAATCTAAATAAATGACGTAGTGTATTTATTATAAGGATACAATATTTACTATCAAATTCCAACGTCATAAATTAATAGCAAATCAAATAATATGAATAAGCAGATCTAAATATTTATGGAATATTAATAAAATCTTTTTATATATCTAATACACAAACTAAAATATGAAAAATAGTCAGAAATTAAATGTCACTCAAAAAATTTAACAAATCTACAATTATCAAGAGATGCTTGAATAAGAATAGATATCAAAATAACTTAAAGATCAATTATTACTTATATTTAATACTTCAAATGAACAAATTACCATCAAGAATGCACTTGAAATAATTAAATCTGAGAATTTTCTAGAAACTCATAAAGCATTAATTTAATTGAGAAAGACCTTGTCTGTATTATTCTTTCAATAATTTAATAAGAATTTTGATTAAGAACAAATATTTACTAATGAACTCGTACCACTTCTATTTTATTTAATCCAATATGGA